TAAGAGTCTGAGTCTGCAGCGCGAAGTGTCAGCCTAGAAGCTTCGGTGCTCGGCCTAGAAGCTTCGGTGCTCGGCCGGCCATAAGCTTAGTCTCGAAAGCTTATCGGACGGTTCCCTCGTACGCGGTGCACGTGGGTCTTATCGGACGGTCACGCGGTGAAGCAGTAACCCAGACACGTGTCGCGTAGTGATTCGATATATTAAATAAGTCGATAGCGTATAATAACGGACGATGCGCGGCCGCGAGTTTGGCGCGCAGCCAGAAGTCGGTGCGCAGTCGTGCCGTTACACAAGGGCTTTGTCAACGCCCCGCCTGACAGTGTCTGGAGCAGAGCTCCGGCTCAGAGGAGCATCGATGACCACAGGCCTTAAGTCGGGTCGACCTTAACGGTCGCTTTGGTAATCCTTACAGGATTGTTTAGGGCTTCGAGAAATCACCTGTTGTCCCGAAGCCATTCTGGGTGCTTGCCCAGTGGCACCTCCTCCGCCTTGACCCGTTTATCTCAGGATAGAAGCGTAGAATCTTCTTATCCACCTCCGATATTTCCGCGTCCGTTGCGTCTTCGCCGAGCTCTGCCACTTTCTGCTGGGCATACGTGCAGATGTCCTCCGCCATGTAGGACAATCTCCTGCACCGGTTGCGGATGAAGACCCCAAAATCTCCTGCCAAGGCGAGACCCCCTTTCTGGTTCTTTTCAGCCGCGTAGATTGCTGCGTACATCTCGTGCTGCAGCAGAAGCCCCCTGATCGTGACTGGGTTAATCGCTGAGGCCAGCTTCTTCATCTCAGACTCTATCGCCGTCTTCGCTTTATTCGCGTGCAGCTGCTTCTCTATGTTTTTCAACCGGGCCCTGAGCTCTTCACCCGAATCGCTAGACTTATCTTCCTTCCTCTCTTTAGGAAGCGCTGCGCGCACCGGCCTCGAAGACGCCATGGCCGACTGCCTTCCGGTTTCCGGCGGAGGGTTTCTGTGCGTAACAGGGGACGACACAGATTGCTGCTCCGCCGGGGTATGGAAACTGCGCTGTGCAGACAGGTTCCGAGGAGGCGGTTGCTCACCGTGTCTGAACCCCGGGGGCCCCAGGTTGACTCTTCCAGCTGCCGGGGGAAAGATAGGTTGAAAAGCCGGTCTCTCGTCGGGAAGCTGCCTGGCTTGGAAGTGACTTGGTCCCGCTTGACGGAAGCCGAATTGCTGCAAAAGCCCTGAACGCACTGGGACCGGCCTTCTGACCTCACCCTGCTGCGCCGCTTGCCCCCTGCGAAAACCGAACTCTCCCTGGCCCCCAATCACCGGGGCAGAAAAACCTCTCACCGGGTTCTTCCCACCCAGCGGAAATTCCGCCCAGGCTTCCGGCGGAGTTCCGAATTCCGCCCCAGGCCTTCCATTCCAAAGGACTGCCTCTGCAGATACTGTTCTGACTCCATCCCGTTCTCTTTCAGCATCACGAGGAGAGGATCACCTTCCCTTCTCGTTCCGATTCCTATGGACAGCTGCGCTGGAGGGACATCCTTGTATTCTGCTCCAGACTCCACTGCCTTGAGCTTCAGGTTTTCTCCTGACCTTCCTACTACTTTGACGAAAATTCTGCCGAGTTGCCCAGTTGGCCTAAACTTAAACCGAGGACCTTCAAACTTCTCCAATCCAACTAAGAAACTAATTTGCTCAGATTCTCGACCTGCCTCCTCTCCATTCGCTCAGCGCCCAAGTGTTCCATCATGCACTAGACATGAGAGACTGCGGCGGCGTGCCAAAGGGAGGGTTTTCCGACTCTTCAGAGTTCTCAGACTTGCTGTTGACTCCCTCAGGATACTCGAAGAGGACTGCTGCCGCTGCCGATCCGAGGTCTGAAACTTCCAGGCTCTTGAGCTGCAGCTCACTGAAGCGCGAGTCCTCGGTCAGCGCTGGATAGTTCAGCGGCAGATCAGGCGAAGCGTCTTGCAGTGACTTTATCAGGCTCCTCTCATACGGAGACTAGATTATTGCTCCAAGGGGCAAACGGACCAGGTCAGGAAGCTCGATGACCCCCAGAATTGTCTCACCCTTCGCTTCTGCAATCTCCCTTTTTGCTCTCAGATTGGCTTGTCGCTTCCTCTCTTTTGCTTGCTCAAGCCTGGCATACTTATCTTCCATGAGCCTGACTCTCGCAGCCTGCTGAGCTGCTTCCAACCTCCATTTGAGCTTGTCCGACAGAACCTTGTCGTCTTCCTGCTTCAGCAAGTCGATGCTCCTGAGAAACCTTTTGAGTCCTTCGAGGAATAGGTAGTCTGTGAAGCCCACATCAGAGCATGCATCAAACAGCTCAACTGCTGCCACCAACGAAGGCCCGAGAGAATCAAGGAACTGCTTGCTCAGCCGTTCTTCGCGAGGTCAAGGAGGATGTGCTTTGAATTCTTGTCCTTTCTCCAATGCAGAGAAATCACGGCCCTCAAAGCCTAGCGTCACTGCGTTGAATGGGGGATTTTGGAGTGCCTGCACTGGGGCCCGGTGCCCCACTCCCGCTTCGGCCCACTCCGGTGAGCTCATGCACCTTATCAGCACAATGCTGCCCAATTTCGTACGAAAAACTTTCTGCGCGCCTTGGCGCCTCGAAAAGCTCCTGCTAAGGAACTTTCGAATGATTCAGAACACGATTCATATCACGGATGTTCTTCTTCTTCGTGCGCTTAAAGTTCAAGTCTGCTAATGTCGAGTAAAAGCGTCGATAAATTAGGTGACGAAATCAACGGTTGACAAAGTATTCCCCTAGCTGGAGGCTAGAGCTGCTCCTCCTTCCTGTGAGCACTGCATGTGCATGCAAGTTGCAAGCGCTGGCTTCAAACCCTAATCTTGGCTTTACCATGGTTTGGTTCCGGTCTCTTTTTTGTCGTCAGCGGATGCAAACCAGAATCAACCGGGCACTTCACTTTGGGTGCGCCTAATAGGCGCGCCGGCGAAGGATCCCCCGGGATACGTTCCGCTCTCTGCTGTCGGTTGCCTAACCATTAGCCGGAACAAGATGCACACAAAGAATATACCTCGGCTGGGAGAAACCAGAGCCTGCGCGTGGAGAATGCTGTGCTATTACAGACGTCTGCTGAAGCTGCTCAAGGAAGCGCCTCAACGCCCTCTCTTCACCTCAGCACCAAACCGTTGATGGACATCAGCCCAAGGAACTGTGCAGGCAGGGACTTTGGCCTGCAGAACGAGAGCGCTTGCATCGTGCTTGGTTGTTTAGACAGGACGACTCGACCTGCTCTCCTTTTTACAGTCCTCCCAAGGAGAACAAGTGGGGTGGGAGGGCTTTGGACTCCTGAATAACATCTGACGACAGAAGCAACAATGGGAAAGAGTAAGTAACCAGCTTGTGCTCTGTGCTGCCTTTCGCAATGTGCCCGCTTTTTGTGTGGAAGTAACTACTTTAAACTGGCAGTCTTCAGTTGTTTACTCTTTCTCAAGTAAACTGCTGCTTGCTCGTTCAACTTTTGCACCTTTGGATGATGCCTCAGTGCCTGCATGTCTGTTGCTGAAGTAGGTTACCTCAAAAAGGGCGGGCTTTTTTATTGAAACCCTTCTCTTACATTTCTCCCATGAAAAGCTGGAGTGGTGGCCGACCTACTTTTGTGGCTGCCACAAGGCCAGAATAGGTTTCCTTGCAGGCAGCAACTTCTGAGCGCTCAAGTGTTCAGCGTATGTTTCTCAAGCCTGTGTGTCCCTTCTGCAGAGAAGCCAGGGCGGAAGGCTAGAGGGGGGGATGATGCTGATGATGAGGCATCCAGCTTTGCATCTAGCGCTGCGACGCTGTCTGACTTTGGAGGACCTGATGGGGAGGATGTGTATAGAGACGAGAGCTCCGCACTGGACGACCTAATCGACACTTTGTATGAGAAGCGGGCCACGACGCGGGAGACTGGGCTGAAGGGCCTCATTGCAGCTCTGACTCGGGACATGCTCGCAGACGCTGTGGAGTCAAAGTGAGTTGGAATTGCATGCGTCACTTTGGTCGACTGAAGTGTATGGTGGACTTTTTGCATCTTGAAATGTAGATGGCTTTGTTCAAGTCAAGCTGTAGGGGTTTCGACCCTCCCTCGAAAAAAAATTGTGCCATTATGCGGGGGTTGCTTAGCCAGCCAGGAAGCAAGTGGTGTGCCTCGGCTTCTACATTCTGCAAACCTAGTCATAGAACATCTCTATGTCTATGAGTTCGTTATCACCGAGGCCCCAACATTCCAGCCTGGTCCACAAGTTTAGATTCGCTGTGGAGTCCTCTCCTTCTGTTGTACAGCCCCTGGCAAGACCACCACCGCTGACCGCTGACCGTCCAATGTTCCACTGCAGGCTAGAAACCCTGCTACAGCAACTCATCTCCGGCGTGAAAAAGGGCGCCGCCGCAGAGTCAGCGTTGGCGTCCCGGGCCATTGGCATCCTTGCGATCACAATGGGGGCGGGGGGGGACTCTGAGCATATTTGGCAGGAGGCGGGGCCGCATCTCACAAAGCTGGCGAAGCAGGGTAGTGCGCAGGCGCCTCGGATTGCGGCCCTGGAATCGCTCGCAGTGACGTGCTTTGTGGGGGCGCAGGATGCGGGGGATACAGAAAGGGCCATGACGACGTGCTGGCAGATTGCGGGGCACCGGGGAAACGCGGCGGGGGAGCAGAAGGTGGGAAGATGCCTGTCTTACTCAGTCTTCCCTAGAAAGTATTGTGCGAGAATGGAAATGCCTATTCTGCTCGAGCGGGACAGCGCAAAAGGTGTCGGATGTTAATTTGTTGGTATTGTGTATGTTGTTTCTTGTTGGTATTGCCTATCTCGGAAGGTAACCAGTGTATTGGAATTTGAGGCATTTCTGAGCATACACAAGAATGCTCAGCATTTTGGTGGTACTCATCCTGCCCCTCTCTTGGGCACTGGTTAGCCTCCAGCCTTGTGTCCCTCGTCACGCGGAGCAGTGTTCGGTTTTCTCACATAGTCCGGGCCTCGAGGGGCCTCGCGGAGCCTCAAGGTGCTTCGACACTTCACCCATCTTAGAATGTTCCAGACGCCCTTCCTGTGACCGCCAAAACATCTCGAGATAATCATGTCAGAGGGTTGTTGAACATCCAAGCTTTCTGTATCCGAAATGTTTGAGCCACACTTTATACCAACCCCAAGCTTTGACCTGCTCAGCCCCAATCGATGCACTCATGCCTGATCCTTCCCCCCCAGGTTGGTGCGAGCGCCCCCTCTCCGGCCCTAAAGGCTGCGGCCCTCAGCTCGTGGAGCCTCCTCCTGTCCAGCCTCCCCACCGGCCGCCTCGAGTCCCAGGGGGTCGAGGCCAAAGTCCCCGTCCTCGCGCGCCTGCTCAAAGACGCTGACCTCAGCGTGCGCACGGCGGCTGGCGAAACCATTGCTCTGCTTCTGGAGGCGGGCGCGACGGACTCTCTCGATGACGCGGACGTTTCGTCACCCGACGAAGATTCGGACAGCGAAGAGGGGTACGTTCCGCGCGCGGAGGAGTTCCAGGGAAAGCTCAAGGGGGGGGTCCGGCCGCCAGGCGCAAAGGACCCCCTGCAAGGAGTGCGGAACGGCGGGGGAAGCGATAGCCGCCAGTCGAGCCCGTCGAAACGGCCACTGGGGGATCGGCAAGAGGATCTTGTGGAGGAGATTCGGCTGATGAGCGTACAAGCTAGGAAGAAAGATAGTAAGCGTGAGCGGGCCGCTCAGAAGAATAGCTTTCGGGAGTTGCTGGCGTCGATCGAGGAGGGGGGGTGCGCGGAGACGACGATCAAGCTGCGGCACGGGGACCGGCTGACGGTGGGCACGTGGGAGGGGACGGTGCAGCTGAACGCGATAAGGAAGATGCTCGGGGAGGGCTTTCAGCGACACTTGCAGGTGGGTCTGCTTGGGGGGCTCCGGTCTCACTCTCTCCGTTGAGAGGGCACATGTTCGTTTGCAACGGACTGAAATAAGATCATGGAGGTCGATCTCGTCAAAATTGGTAGTTGAAAAAAGCAGTTCATCTGCGTAATATCCTTCTGCAACACCCTCTCACCCCATTGCTGCACCGATGGTTCGGAATCCGTGTCCACTATGCCCAGATTTGGAACGAAGTAAGAGGCGGGACTGAAATCTCTACAAAACCCTGCCTGGACGTCTGCTGACTGTTTCTCCACAACGCCTTTCCGCAGGAGAACCCCCTGCTGCACCAGGTGTTTGAGTTCCAGCCCCGGCAGGAGGCGGCGCAACGGCTGCAAGGCGTCGACAAGCGGCTGATGCGGTCGCCCAACTCCGCCATGAGCAAGTGGCGCACGCAGGCTATGAACCGGCGACGCTCGAACGCGGCGGTGAGGCACTCCTCCATACAGAGAACGTCGGACGGTTTAATGAACCGACGTCAGGGCATCATCTTTCGGGTCCATCTCGCACTCGTCATGTGCACAAACCGCAGAAAAGTAATGTTGGTTCCGGTGACCCGGTCACTTAAGAGCTACTTGGGAACTGAGAGATCGATGGGCGGACTTTGGCATGAGCTTTGCTGCGTGCAGAGTTGACGTAATCGTAGTGATAGGCACGATTTGGTCGAGCAGATTGGCTTGTTTGCCAATATCGCTGTTTCGATAAATGCATCTTGAGCCATGGGTGCTGAAATTCTGGCTGATTGGTAAGACCCGTTCAATGCAGGTTGGAAGTGTTGGCCATTATGGTGACGAAGACGACTGATTGCTCAGTGGCACCGCAGCGTCTGTACAATAGCCCTATCAAATCTAGTCTTGCAAAGCCAGTTCGTTGACTGATCAGGCCCTTCAACGCCGCAACTTAGGTTGTCGTTCAAAAACGAAACACGATGTCCTTGAGACACTTTGGCCGCGCCATCTTGCAACAGTCTGCTGGCCGCCTTCTTTGAGAAAGCCGCTTTGCTCTGTAAGGGGGGGTTCTTTCCTTCTGGCAGTGCTGGTTCCACTAGCACGGAAGCTACAGCAACCCAAAAAGAGAGCTACAAACATTCTGACGCTTCACTACGATAGACAACAACGAGACACAATCACTGTAGCGAGAATCAGACGAAAAGTTGCTCTTGGTCCAAGCGCATCGTGCAAACAAACGCCACCAGCTCCTCCCCAAGGAGCGCCGATTTGCGGAGTTCCGGACGCCCCTGCACGTAATATGTTCCTGACACGATGCCATGATTGATCGTTGAATATGTCAATATTCCCATAATATGCATGTCCATGTATCCTGCACCATGGTTGGTTGCAATGAAACGCCGTAGTCACATGATATATCCTGCAGTATCTTTGACTTGAATCGCGTGGACACGTGAGCTAGATGGGAGTACACAGTGATTAGACCATGTTCATATTGCATCATGTCAATGCATCAAGATCTTGCATCGTGTGCTCAGTGGCAAGTGCAAGTGAGTATTGGCGTCCAACCTGTACATCTGCTCGGTATGAAGTGCATGCACTTGATAGCTACCCTCGCGTGATCCTCGTTGCAACAACAGAAAGATGCGGCCGGGGCAAATCTTACAAGCACTCTGCATTCAACGCTGGGCCAAAGATCCAATGTCCCCACAAGATAAAACATCAAAGCTTGAGCTTCTATGAAGCGTGGCATTATCGTCAATCCCCACCCTTTGACTGCTGCATCCCACTGCATGTTCCTGTTGCGCACCGCTGAGCGTCAGCCTGGTTCACGGGGGAGATCGGACGGTCCAAGTAAGCAATTTGGGAAAACGCGGGCCGTCCGATCCAATCGCTTGTTTTGAGAACCCCAAACCCTTGCGAGCGAGCCGGCCGGCGGCTCACCTGGCCCGGGCCACTCACGCGCGCGTCGCGCCATATGCGCACCGGCTGCGCTATCATTGTGTTCCACCGCCCAGGAACGTCTGAAACGAAGCAGGAAGTTTGCAGCTTTCGCCGGCAGCAACTCCTCAAATTCCCCAGAATAGCAGCCTTGTCCCACTTAGTACAGCCGCAAAATTAACAAGAAGTATGTCTCTGGCAGTACTCCTACACCCACTGCCAATGCTTGCCGGGGTAGCCTTTGAGCAAAAGGAGGGGTTTTTGGGAGCACGAAAGGTGCATCACTTTGCATTCCCTGGAACAGGAGATTGGTCTCCTTTTAAAATGGATAAGGTTGCTGCAAGACTGAAGTGAGGGTGTGACAGTGGTAGCCTGGGCTTGTTGCAGTACTCTCGGTGGGGCTGATGAGAGATTTGCAAAATCCAGAAGCCCATTGGTCCTGCACTTGCTTAAGTCGTCTTATCGTTCACAAACATCATAGCACCGTGGCAGAGCGCGTACATTTGTTAGAAGACACGCATGTATGCTTTCGAAATACAGGCAAACGCAAGGTGGAAGCGATTGCTCTCCCAAAAACCACGAGTCAGAAATTTGTTGCAAATGCTGTAAGCAAAAGCTTTCCTGCTGCAAAGGCTGTTATGCTCTTATATGCAGGTCAATGTTAGAGCATCGATTCCCGGTGGATCTTTTCGAAACAGGACTTTCGATTGCAGTCTTTTCCTAGAAAGGGAAGCCTACATGGATGCAGGTGCACTTGACTTTAGTACGAAGTTTGAATGCAAATGGATTCAAATTGCCCAGGACTGATTTGAACTCAAGTGGGAGAACTGATTGATGAAAATTCTCTTCTTGCAGACTACCATCTCGTACCTGGCGACAGCCCTTTCAAAACCTTTGAGAGCAAGCTCCAAGAACAGATTTCAAGCGGAAAACTCCAGAGCTCCTCTCAAAGTAAGACCCTATTTATAGCATTATAGTCTTGTTCTTGCATAAGGGATGCCGGTTGTAGAAGCTTGTGTAGGTTTTCTGGATCCTTGCCAGTATGAGAGTGGGAACGTGCCACTTGCTTCTCTTAGATTCCTACTAAGATCGTCACGGTTGCGTCGATCGCAGATTTGGCCTCTTGCTAGTCAGTGTCAATTGACTAGACTCGTATATGAGGACAAGTGGGATTCTGCTCCTTGACGGTGTTGTCAAGCATGTGATTTTGGAGTACATTCTGGATTATGCTTGACACAGGCCTCTAGAAGGAAGATACGCGGATCGAAGGGCCCCAGAAAGAAGGTACCCCGCTCAACGAAGGAGCAACAGAAGGAGCAATGGGCCTGGTATACTCCGTTGGCCTGGCTGGACTCGGGATATAATGGATTGCTGATCTGGGTAGTGTACATTATTGTGCTGGTATGGTTGTGGTTCACATTATTTTCTCAATAAGCTCTAACAAGAAAGCGCCGAGTCACCGAAGGTAGGAGTCAGTATTGTAAGCCCTCAGATGGTAGCTCTGCTTTGCGTGGCTGGCGTGATGTGCCTGGTGAACTCTCACTATTTGCAGCCTCCGTGCAGAAACTGCTGTACTCTAAATCTGCTGGACAAAGCTGGCGTTTCGCAAACATCAACGGGAAAGCAGTATCTAAATGCAAAGTTTTCGTACACAAAGTGACATCCAGCTCGCTCGTTACTTGGACGGTGATTCAATTCACCTCGCGTGGAATCTCGTACCGTTGGCGCGGCCACATTCAACCGTCCCATGACATATCTTACTGCACCTTCGTCTTCAAGTTCATGCAGCAGCTTTCCACCTAGCATGCCCACGGTTGAGCAGTATTATGCGTTCGGAAATGTACTAGGTACACCGAAACACTTTTTTTTGGCGACAGAAGAGCACAGCGACCTGTTGAGCAGTCGCTCTTTGACGTCATTCAGATGCGTCTGATTACGCCCTCTTTAAGGTCGAAACAAAAAGGGCCTGCGCGCGCGTCTTAGACGCTTTCGAAGACGTCTTCGTCCACAACTCGAGCATGCCGTCGTCGTTTTGAGTTACATTGGGAAGGGCATAAAAAATGCTGTTTTTTAAGCCCCTACTTGGTTCAAACGAAGCCGTATAGCTATGTGCTCATAATATGACGTTTTGGGCATTTTTGAGCTGCTCAAAATCTGGATCTATATGTTTAGCTCATATACCCCCTTTCGATTTCTTAAGCAAACCATATGTTATTTGCTCAGTGGGGGATCGTATGAACTCTCCCCAAAGAGGTCTTACAGAGGAATCAAGAGTAATTGTCCACAATGAAGGTGCAAATTAGTTGATCATCAAATAGGTTTCAGAAACTCCACGTTCGTGTCGACTTTGCACCTTGATTGTGGGAAGTTCCTCGGTATCTTAAGCAATTTGGAAAACGTGGGCCGTCCAATCGCTTCACTTGCCCCGAGAACCCTAAACCTTTGTAAGCGAGCCGGCCGCCGGCTCATCTGGCTCACTCCCACGCGCGCGCGCCGGCCGGCCAGCGCGCCATCTGCGCCACTTAGGGTGAGTAAAAGGTCGTCTAGGCATCTGGTGATAGTGGTATGATGATGCAACGAAGCAGGACTTTGCAGCTTGCGCCGCCAGCAATTCCACACGTTCCCCAGTATATCAGCGCTTATATCAGCCTTGTCCCCACTTAAAACAAGCCGCAATATCATTGAAGAAGAAGTATGTCTCTGGCAGTAATCATACACCCACTGCCAATGCTTGCTGCGGTAGCCTTTCAGCAAAAGGGTCCGTTTTCAGGAGCACGCAAGGTGCATCACTTGCGATCCTTGGCACAATCGAATGGTTCTCTTTCTAAAAGGATACCGTTGCTGCACAAATCAAAGTGAGGGTGTGACAGTGGTAGGGCTTGGTAACGTTTCGGTGGGGCTGATGAGAGGTACTTGCAAAATATTCCAGAAACCCATTGGCACTGCACTTACTCAAGTCGTCTTATCGTTTACAAATATACTGACACAGCGCGTACATCCGTTGAAAGACACGCATGTATGGTTTGAAAAATATAGGCAAGAGCAAGGTGGAAGCTATTCCAGTAACTTCATTGATATGAAAAGCCCGAAGCCTTGGATGCGGGTACTTCAGGACGAAATTTGAATTCAAATGGATACAACTTGCCAACGACTGACTCGAGTTCGAGTAGGTATACTGATTGGTGGAAATCCTCTTCTTGCAGATAAGCATCCCGTACCTGGCAGTAACCGTTTCAAAAGCTCTGAGAGCAAGCTCCAAGAACAAGGTTCAAGCGGAAGATTCCAAAGCTCCTCTCAAAGTAAGACCCTAACAGTCTTGTTCTTGCATAAGGGATGCCGTGCCGGTTGTAGGAGCTTGTATAGGTCGTCTGGATCCTAGCTAGTTGCTAGTATGAGAATTAAAAGTGCCTCTTGTTTCTCTAAAGGCCTAATAAGATGGTCACCGTTGGCGTCGATTGCAGATTTGGCCTCTCCCTAGTCAGTGTCAAATGACTAGACTCACAGGAGAACACAAGTCGGACTCTACTCCCCAGCGGTGTTGACAAGCATGTGAATCTGTTTCATATGCTGGTATACTCCCTTGCTCAGGGCCCTAGAAAGAAGAAACGCCGCTCAAAGAACTCGAGAGAGAAGGTACCCCGCTTGAAGAGCCGTTCTCGAAAAAGCAAGGCACACCAAAAGGAGCAATGGTCTTGGTACAGTCCGCTGATCTGGAGCGTGGCCTGGATAAGCGGAGAGTACTGTTGGCTGGTCTGGGTACTCGACCTCGTTATGCTGGCGTGATTGTGGACAACATTATTTTCTAAGTGAGCTCTATTAAGAAAGCGCCGAGTCATTGAAGGTAGGAGTCAGTATTGTAAGCCCTTAAAAGGTAGGTCGTCTTTGCGTGCCAGGCGTGATGTGTAGGTTTCTCTCTGGATATCTGCAGCCTCCCTTGAGAATCTGTGCAAATTCTGCTTTACTTTAGATATGTTGGGCAAGGCTGGCGCTTCGCACTCATCAAGCTTTCAACGGCTGAGAAGTGTACGGAAATGCAAACCTTTCGTAAAAAAGCAACATCCGGCTCGCTCTTCAGTTAGGCGGTACTTCTCTTTTCAAACCAGTGCTTGGAACCTTATATACCATGTCGGCGCGGCCACAATTTGATTCAAACCGGGTCCCACTGCAGTGAAGTACTGCACCTTCGGTACGTTTTCAATTTGCAGCTATGAGTTCTATCCAACTTACATGCTTTTCTTAATCCATGAATGCAAGCAAGATTCCAAGTTACCGGCACCCAATGCAACCAATTTGAGTAGTGAAATATGAGAGACGCTCGCTAGCAGATTCACCGTCTAGCGACCCGGCCCTTGAATCCTGGCCATGAACAGCCTGTGTGCGCATGCAGCCTCGCAATGATAAGTTCTTATGCCATCGGAACGATTGGCCATTCGTGCATGCATGCCCGACATCCTCAGGGGGCCAATGGACGATTGGGATTCCTCCAGGATGTATTCGTCCTGACTTTACCATCCATTTTCGATGCATCTGAGAATCGTATGTTTTTGCGGCTAGACAATGTACCGCGTACATTCTTTGGACTTCTAAGATTCAACCTCTGAAACAGATAGCTAAATGTACGACTCGTGCCACGTGACGATTTTGGAACATGTGAATAGGCAGCCAAAGAGGGACGGTGGCCCAGTCTGAAATGGACTCAAGCAGGAATCGGAACAGGTACGAGTATATGGCAGTATCGGTTGGAAGTGGTCGAGTTGCGCATTTTGTGGGTACAAATTCACGTCCGCTTCTTGTCTCCATCTACCACACCGACACCCGTCGCTGCATCTCCTATTGATGCGCTCGAGCCTCTTCTCAAACTCGCAATCTCGCTGAAGAAGGAGCGCTCTGCTGTGTATATTGCGCCAAGTACACCAACAAAGCATGCCCCGCCCACCATTATATATGTAGCCGCTGAAGTATAAAAGCGATCATGGTCCAGGAACGTAACCTCTGCCCAGTGGGCGGTCAGAGCAGCCGCGATGAAAGTGCCAATGACTCGAATAGACGGAACCGCTCTCCGGATTGAGAACGTTGGGGAGCCCTGCAAGGGAAGATTGGACTTTAGCACAAGGACATGACGAAGCAAGACGTTCTACGATTGCCATAGTTTGATGTCGTTTCAGAGAGGCTTAGAGAATAGGTTGCCCGCCTGCGGGATTTCATCCTATCGTGTGACTTTCGGCCTTCAGCGAAACAAGGAAAGGATCCGTCTGAACGCAACGCTCGGTTCACGAGCTTGCACGGTAGCTTTCGATACAAGCTGCTCTCTTGACTAAGATCTTGTAGCAGCAGTCAACTCTCCACAAGCCGATCAACACGCTGACTTCGTCGATAAAAAAGCCGTCCGAAGAAGCATAAAACGGACGCAAAGGATTGGAACTTCAGAAGATGGGGCAAAGTGCCCAGAAATCTCACCTTGAAATACCGTAGAATGAAGACCATCGAGTAGGTGATGCGCAGCGTCATGTTGCACACGTTAGCGAGGATGAGCCCGGTGGTGCCACGTGCCTGCACCAGGGCCACGCTGAGCGCTACGTGGCAGACGGAGAAGACCACGAGCGCCACGTTGTTCCAGGCCAGCCCGCGCTCGGACGCGGTCGCGTGCAGGAACGACTCGGTGATGCCTAAAGAAAAACGAGTGGCGTTAATGAATTATCGACTAAACTGACGGGGTTGCCTGCAGGAACCACTCAGTGATGCCTGCAGTACCCTGCTGTTACTCTGACGCGGTCGCATGGAGAAACGACTCAGAGATGCCTAAGAAAAACAGGAGGCATTCAGGAACCTTGTGTTATACTGACGGGTTCGCATGGAGGAACGACTCGGTCATGCCTGCCATAATGACGAGAGGACTTCGTGATAGAAGCTGCGGTATACAGACCGGGGAGGGGCATCACAGGTTCAAGATACTGGATGACAACAGGCGAAAGATGGAGTTTGCCATTTTGGAGGTGGCAAAGGTCACAGGGACACTATGAGTCTTCGGAGCTTGAGAGCACAAAAGAAGAAGGAAACAAGGTTCTCGCATTTGGCGATATGAGCAGCCACTGGAATCCGGGGTCCATTCTTTATCAATTAAACAGAAGGCGTGTTCTTGCTTCAGGCTTGCTGGTGACTGTTTGAAGGAGCAAAGGAAGTTGTTGTGGACACTCATTATCGACTTGGAGAACGGCTCCGCACATGATGGATGTTTTATGACCCCCGATCCAGCCAACAAGTAACCACGGACTGACACAAGCGGGTGTAATTTTACAGAAGCTTATGAAAGAGGAGGACTTCAGGCGCAGTTAACTCACCGTTGAGCGCCATGACCATCACGTAGAGGCAGTAGCACGCGAGCGCGGTCGGCGCCTCCGAGTCGCTCTTGTCCCGCCCGTACAGCAACCGCAGCAGGGTATACGAATAAGGCGGGCCGAACGCGACGAAAACGAGACCTGGCAGGGAAAAGTAGTTGAGCTCTAAACCTCTTGTTGGGAACAGGCGTCCGACAATGTCTCCGTACAGTTTGACTGCCTTCGTCACTAGGGCTCTGGTCCCAGAAGAGGGTCATAATTCTACCACGAGTTGCCAGTTTTTGCAAGTAAGTGTGTCCCTACAGCGGTACGCGTAGAAAGACGAAGCTTGCAAGACTTGCTAGTTTCCAGCGGCAATCTATGAGAAACAATCTCCCCGCGTGCTTACTTCACTCTTCGAGAGCCCAAAGAGCCCTCGAAAACCTGTGCCTCTACTTGGATCGCAAACACGCATAGATGGGAAGAGGAAGACGGTCGTAGCTAATGTGTACTTACCTAGCAGAGACACCCCCTTGATCGCCAACAGCAGAACTCGTTCCACCCCCCGTACGTCCGGCTTCTGGGCGTCGTCTGCACAGCAAGGTTGCCTTCAGTCAGCTGACGTATCGCGGAAGACCACGTGGCTCTTACCGCCTGGGTAGCAGCAGTCACACGTGGTCTGGTTATTAGGTTTCACTGTCATGGGTGCTTCAGAAACAGCGCAAAGAACGACACGACTCCAGAAAGGCCAAAGGTTACAGCCGTGTGAAGAATCAGCCCGGAGCAGACACGAGTGCTACTTATGACCTTCTGATTGCACACCGTCTCTTCTATGGCACTTGTGATCGCGCAACAGAAGGCAATGCATTCCGGCCATTCAGAATGTGAGTTTCCAAAAATTTCGACCCCACAAAGATCACACGCACCGTCTTTCTTGTTGGCGGAGCTGGCTGCTTTTGAGAACATGGTGAAGGCGCTCTCCTCAAACGGCTGCAGGACCGAGCGTACCACGAGCGAACCTGAGGAGGGGCTGCAAACGGTCAGAACTGCCGCTCCTACACTTTCACACCCGGATTTGGTCGAGAACAAGCGTACCTTCAGATATTGCCTTCGGCAGCAATGTTGCCCCGCTGGATGTGGAAGGTAAGTTGCGAACGCGTCATCACAACGCAGTTCGTTCGAGTCAGTAATCTCGAATTTTGCCTCACAATTCAACTCAAAGACTCGCAACCTTGGTGTCTTTCATTATACTCCGGTATTGGCCGTTATTCGTATCAAATCGAGTTTAACTCCCGCCATTTACGTCCAGCGGATTGCGTTCTTGTACCTTTCCTTCCCGCAGCCCTTCCAAACCCATCATGCAGATTATGCCTCAGGTCATCCTCCACCGCACTCACCCAGCTTTTCGACGATCCCGTACACCCCCTGGTTGTGCTGGCTCCCCGACAGCACCAGCACGAACTTCTCGCCCTCCGCCAGCGCAAGCTTTTCCACGGACTGCCACGAAAACGCGCCGCACACGCGCAGGAGCGACGGGTCGAGGAGCGGGCCGCCCTTCGGCCTGCAATCACAAGCGACGGTGTCTTTTTGGTTCTCCGATAAAAATCCGATGGATAAAACTTTTGGACGCGGTCAGCGAATAATTCGATACAGGGAGTGAAACCCGCCTGGATGCTCAATTCAATGATGATCCATTGTATATGCACACCGCCCCATGCTTAGAAACGCACGGGCTTTGAGTCTCTCGTTGTTCGGCAGAACATGTGCCGCAACCGCAAAGGGACTTTTCTCAGACTGCCAACATAGCAGTAATAGAACAGAGGGAGCGCGTCGTAAAGACGGCCCTGTCGACATCAAATCAGGCAATCATGATAAGACACCAATTTTGAGACCAGGGTAGTCGTCAGGAAGGGCACAATGTGGACCGGCAAGGCTCGACAACAGCCTGGAGAACGAAGAAGCAGCCCTATGCAGGACAAAAATCGTGGACTAAAAAACCACAGATTCCCATTTGACGACATTGTTCACAGCCGGCCCCAGAATGACATTCATGCTGACGTCATCCCCGAAGAGTCCCAAGGCTCACCTGCTCGGCAGAAGCGGGACTGAAGCGCCCGTCGTCTCCCTTCGTCGAGCACGGGAGAGGAAGTAGCCCCAGTACCCCACCAGCAACACGAGCGCATACGTGAGCTGTGCGTAAGCGAAGACCAGCCCACCAGCCTGTGGCACACGGAAAGTGTCAGAACGCGAGGAGGGGGAACGTGGTTTCCCGAGCCGACGTAAGAGAGCCCTCCTAGCTAGAACCCCCTAGGATGGACGTTCTCGATCAATCACATTCACTCATTCCAACCGTAGATTGAAGGGTTGATACAGAAAGGGTCTCTAAGGCGTCCGCTGGGAGTCCCTTTTGTCCTTCCTCCCGTTCTGTCAGTCCACACCTCCCCGATGGTGTTAAGCCCATATTGAAGGCCTAGGATTTGCCGGGTCTGAGGGTGGAAGCGAGCCGATGACAACGGTTGGTCAATCTCTGGCCATTAGGAAAAAAAGTTGGAAGGGAATTCAGGAGAAGTTTGTGATGATGCAGGCCGCCGTTCAAGTAGATGACCGAGACACTGCCAAGGGGTTCTCTTTGAGCCAGTCGAGGTCGCAGCTAATCGCTTTCAGCGCAGCCGTAGATTAGAGATTTGCTTCTAGGACGTGAAGATTTTCAAGATGCTCAATAGGATAACTCATAAAGAGTACGCCGGCCAATCAATGGTATGTATGAGAGGGATTGCACCACTGAGATCACACGATGTGAAGAGGCCCACCTTGCCGATGCCTTGCAGCAGGAGCGCATATGTCACCAGGCTCTTGCCAAGCGTCGCCAGCGTTTCTATAACCACGCGCACCCGCAGCAGCAACAGGCACTGCGCCAGAATGTACAGCGGCTCGCTCAGCAGCTCCACTCCCGCAGCGACACCTGGCAAAGTGAGTCCTTTTTTTTGACCTTTGACACATGTCTGCATGTTAAGGAGGGCCGTGATGCCAAAGTAGGCGCAGTTTGATATAAACTTGTGCGATTAATATACTAATAATATAATGGATCCAAATTGAACTGCTTTAGGAGGGGTTGGGTCTTATGATGATCTTCGTGACTCTTCTGTACGTTAGGTTCACACCCGGAACGGTTCTCAACACGCAAGCGATCAGTTGCTAAATCGTCTGATGCCTTATGATACATTTGAATTTTTAAATCGAGAGAGGGATAATGAAAGAGTGTCTCGGCAGCACCTGTACAAAAATCATGACCTTCGTGGTGGCGGTCGAGTCCGATGAGCCGTCTGCCAATGTCGGGCTTGACCGACAGACTGGCCTCGCATCATCCTTGCAATCGTTTTCCAGACGAGAGCTGCCAATCTTGCGGAAAATACACAAACTAACTGAAACAAAGCAGCCACAGTGAACACAGGAGGAGTCGGATTCAGGACAACAAAAACTGACCCAGAACGAGAAGTGCCTGCGTTCGGACGTCTGCGACTGGCAGCTGCTGCCACCAGAGGATCGTCCCCACTGTTGCACAGGTAACAAGAAGGCCTACAGGGACCGACAGCCAAGCCACTGACACCACCCTCGCCGCTGCAGACTGGTGCGGGTTGTCCCTGCAATACAGTGTCCTTGTGTCTTTCCATTTTTCAGAACCCTTGGAAGCTCCAGGACTTGCACTTGCTTCTTTACTTTCACTTTTCGCTTACTCTTCGACCAAGCAGCCATGTGACTACTGCGACAAACCATACATAATTTCAGAAGCCACTGGATGCACGCTTAAAAAGCATTTGAACCTTTTTAGATTCCGTGGGAACTCGCAAGGGGCTACTTACAGAGGGTGGGACAGAAGTGATGAAGTGGGCCCAAATAGATCCACGTGGATGGATCTCAAGCTCACCCTAGGTCACTCCGGATACAGCCCCGCCGGAAGCCCTCCCTGCTGATCATGAAGATTGTGGTAGTGATGAGGGGGAACTGAACTGCTGATAGCTGGACGGCAGAGGAAGGGCCGGGTCAGTCACCAGCGTTTGCTTGAGAAGCAATCACTCACAATTTTACAACCTGCTAGACACAACCACATGGCTTTGATGCAGAATTTTTCCAGAGGACTCTTTGCTTAGAAGGAGGCATATGTGTAATCATGACAGTCTCAAGTGAGGTATTCTGTCTGGTGCTCCTGTCTTGACCATCCAGTTACAGTTTGTTGCATTTGTTTTGACCAGAACTAACTTCACCACACACTTTGGGGCCATTTGCTCCATTCTCATTGAAGCTGTGAACGAACACTTTCACTCACCTGTGCTTCTGCCTGAATCGTGCAGTATTTCTCCTTGCAGTGGACTTTGTTCCATATTTCACAAAACTTATTACCACCATTCGCACCAGCTGTAAGGAAATTTTCTCTGCTGCAATTGGCATATGAATACAAGCGTCACAAGGGGTCTGGAACCTTGATACTCTGAGTGCTGCTCACCCCAATCTCTGCAGCATTCAGCCTGCGGTCAATCAGGACGTTCAGCAGGAAGGAGATGACCCGCGTGGCCAGCTGCGAGACTGCTCAAGCAACAGAAGCCTAATGTCAGCACCTGCTTGCGGAATTGGTGAAAATGAAAGGTTGCAGTCTGATCAAAGCAAATTCGTTGCAGCAGTATGACAGGCAGGTTTATGCACCTCATGTGTCTGCCCTGCTCATGCACGCTGGAACTTTTTACATGACTCATGTTCAGAAATCTCTGAAGGTGTAGATCGCGACTCCAAGAGTGATGCACTCACTCATCAGGTGCAGGAAGCTCGAGACCAGGACGCCAGCTTCCCTGGCGCCGGCCTTTTCGCCCGCCATCTCGCCCAATGCCAGTCAGCAGTTTTTCCGCTTCATTCAGATTGCTCTATGGCATGTGACGGTCAGCAGGAGCCTACACAGATCCTCATCTTCATGAGAAGCCAGTTCAACTGCTACTTACAGCGTCTGCTTCACAATAGCGCCCGCCATTGCAGCATCATAGAAGGGCATGACGATCTGCATTCAACTTCAAGAGTCTAGCTACCGTACCGCAGCAGCCTGAGTGCGGCCGCGCGGCCCGCCCGAAAGTAAGGGCTGCGTGACCCCGGGGCCGCGCTCCGCCCGCGGCCGGGCGGCCGCAAGACGAGCAATTATAAGCCCTGATCATTATAGGGCCTCCAGGTGCCTAATCTGTGAACCGGAAGCTGTTCAATTCACATGCGGGCCCCTCTGAATTGTACTTTCATCTGAGCAGGCCCGGCCCGCTCTTCAATTCTCAGCTGACTAGACGGTCATCGGCGTATAGTGCGCGGCCGGCCGTGACCGGACCCACAACAATGCGGGGGCCGGGGCCGTCGTACAGGGGACTGCGACGGTCCCACAACGTGGTCACACGCATGAGGCCCCAACTAGGAAGCTAAGAAAAGATCAAGCGAGAAGCTGAACTCTTATCGATGCACCGCGTACCAGCTAAGCCTACTACGGCTAAGCGCTTCAAATGACTCCGGGGTTCTTCGCGGTCCGATCAAGTTGTTTCACCAGAAATGCCCAGTGGCTCAGGCTAGCAACCGGAAAGGTTCGGCGGCTCAGATACAAGCACCGCCTAGAGCCCAACAGGGTTACGCGTTTGTGTCGTACCTATCATGCGGCCACCTATCACGTTTTAATGTAGGATCCGTTTACATCGCCGTTTCAGCCGCCCCACTGGCAGGTACAACTACCTTGAATTGTCGAGGGCTGTGAAACTTGATACGACCATGATGGTTCCACTTACCTATAGCCGAGAAGCCTTTGAAACATTGTATAGGTATCTGGTAGGCTTTAGCTTTCATCTAAACTGACTAGGACTTTACAAGCAAACGCGAGGTTATAAAGAATACAAGCTCTGGAAAGAGTATGGTGTCAAAGACGTCTTGCCAATGGCTGAAGCAGACTCCTAGTCTAGGTGAGGGATTCTTAGTTGCCTTCTCTTCCTGCGCTCTTTCCAGCTCTTCTTCCTTTCTTCTTCACAACATAAGCGGACAGTCTTCGTATCAGTTGGCATCTATCCTTATGTACATCTGAGATTCCTTGTTATATCCATGTGGACGCAGACGCTTTCTATGCGCTGTAAATCACCAAGTAGAGCGGCAGAATAGCCCGCTTGTTGTACACCACTATTTCGTCGTAGTTGAGAACCGGGCCCACTTCTCCTACCACCGAGTCGTACTGATCCGGGGGCCTCATTAGCAGCGGCTCGTTGTTAACCGTCCGGTAAACGCGGCCGGCGACCACCTGAAGAGTCCAAATTTTGTTCGTTCATTCGAAGCGTATAAGTGGAAGTCGGTTCATCGGTCTGGACAAAATTCACCCGATCGTGGGGTTTGTCAAAGCATCTCGACTTCCACGTATTTCTGCGAGAGCGCTCATCAAATGCGGATTCAAGCCGCAAGTGCTCTTGGGCCGCAGCATCGAGTGCAAAAGAAAATCAGCATGAGTGCACGTATGGAGTGTACCTTTACATACGGTGCGGCAAGTCGGTGTCTTGACCGTTCTGCACTGGACGCCCTTCTGGCCTTCAACCGCACCGTTTTTTATGGACCTCAACGGATCTAAATGACTACCAGCCTTTCTCGACAGGCGAAAAAGTTACTACTCGCAGATCATTCGAAATTTGTCACAAGCCAGAAGAGCCCGGAACCTTACCTGACAAACGAGCATGGCCCGCAGTCCGTGCCGGCCCATAGTATGATCGTCTGCCCATGCGTAGTCATTCGCTTTGCCGGACGCTGACGTCAGGTAGAAGCCCGTGCCGAACCTCTGGAAGGCGTCCGTCCGGATCTTTTTGGAGCGGAACCCGCTGCGCAGGATGCCGCAAACCCCGCAGTCGGGCTCGGGGCAGAGGCTCGTGTTCCCGTGGAGCCCAAGCGAGCATTTCATCCTAGGAACAGGAAAACAACTTTGAGCCAATCTATATCGCCGTGTTCAAGGAAAACGCTTTTCAAATCCCTGGAGCGAAAGACTTGCATCGCCTCCGAAAGTCGTTCGACCGTTTGAACTTAATCAACGAAAGTTTTGAAACCCGCTCTCGCGCTCGGTTTTAGTTTCTGAGACGAGCGCATCACCTTTTTCCGTTTCACAAATTAGTCCAGCACTTGACTTGCATTTCAAGACGAAGTATGACAATGTCGGAAGAGGTCTCTAAAGGTACTCACTTTCCCTTTCAAGCAACTGACATACCCCGTGTAAGGAGAAACGTCTTCTCACCCTGAGCCGTGGAAGCGGATGCGGACGTTTCCGTCTTGGAGGCACCGGACGTCCTGGTGACTTCCGCCCGCCTGTTTCCGCACTTGCTCGGCGTAATCGTTGTGCAAAGTCTGTGCCAGTTGGGACGTGCTGATGGCAAGGACTTCATGCACCCTCCTCGGAGCTGTCTCCGTTTTTGCCCAGGCTCGGAGGAAGGCCGTCTCGATCTCGTGGCGCTTTGTGGAAGGGATTCGCGACACTGCATGGTAGGATGGAATGATTTGCTGTCATTCCAACCGTTGGCATCTTGATGATCGACAATTGCGCTCCTTAGCTTCACATACCGGGGAATGACGCTCTTGCTCGTTTGTCGAATTTCGTACCTATGTTTACCTGGATGAAGATCTGAACTTGGCTCAGGCGACGAACGTATGAACGACCTTCAATAAGTTCTTGGGCTTAGGGGGGATTTTCAAACTTCTAGTATGGCGCAGTAGTCTTACAGTAAGGTACTTTGGCTTTACTCGAACACCTTCACCGTAGTGAGTCAACTCAGCTTCGTTTGCAAATCAAAGCTCGATACAGCTCGATATCATCTTCATATGATTGTTTCGGAGGCAAGGACCCTCATTCTCAAGGCATCTTGGAGACCCACGTTTTCAAGAGCAGTGAAGCATCCTTTCTTGACAGAAGACAAGTTCCCCAAGCACCAGCTTTCTCGAATGCAGTCAGTCTGCTTAGACATGACAAACCTAAGAAATCTAGATGAAGAGCCGAAACAACGTAAGCCCTCAACTAGCACAGCGCGAGCAGAGAGGGACTGATCTCTTTCATCCCTAAGCTTCCGGTCAAGGGGCACTAAGTTCAACTTCTGGACATGGGCGTTGAAAGGCAATGAACACTTTTCTTCACCTGAGTGCATCACCACGCAATGGCTATCCAGCCCCGCTTCCGTCCTGTACAGATCACCGCACTCCTGACACACCCACGGCTTGGGCGCCTCGGGGTGCATATCTTCCCCGTGCTGCTTCAGCTGTTCCTTGGTGTCAAACCAGGCGTTACACCCAGGGAAGCCGCAGCTCGCTTTTCCCCCGATTGGCAGATTGTGAGAAGCCCACCGGTGATCCTCCATAGCAGCCGCCGTTTGGAACAGCCTCTTACAACCAGGGAGGCTGCACTTGACCCGGGGGCTAGGACCAGTCAAGCTAAGACCCCCCATTTGTGCCCGGAGACTTTCTACCGGGCGGCTAGAGTGCGCGTTCTCCCTGTGCTGATTTCTGCTGTCAGAGGACTCAAAGCTTTTTGTGCAGCCGCCGGCGCCGCAGATGAAGCGCCCCGGTGGGCTTCTTTGATGTGCGTCTAGCTTATGCTGGTTCAGAAACTGCGTATCTTTGAAGCTTCTCTGACAGCCTCCCACGCCGCACTGGAGGGTTTTGCGGGCAGGCGCCATGTTTGATTGTGGCGGGCCAGACGGAAGGTCACTTTACATCTGAAGGGTCCTTTGAGATCCGAGTCCTGCTTCAAAGACAGCGCTTCCTATGGAACGTCCACCATCGTAGGATCCTTACTCTGGGAGACCACGTCATTGTTTTGTGGATTGCATGCGGCCACTCCCGCGGAAGACCGCATGCGCATCTCCGCTCAGAACTTGCAGAGGCTGATTATTCAAGCGCGTCTCAACGTCAGAGGCCTTCAAGGAGTCTGCTCTCGTAGCTTGCAAGTGCTGCAATGACTAAAGTAGACTCTGTCAAAATCGAACACCAGTGGCTGTGTCACATCAAGCAGATCGGACACCAGTGTAACACTTCTTACGTACTTGAATGTCCCAGCTTTGACCATCTGCCTACCGCGGTTTGCGCGAAAACACGGTTGCCGCGGCCGCCCGCCGGGTTGAGGCTGACACAGTGACTTCATAAGAATTCCTGGCATCCAGCCCACGCGGCCGCCCGCCGCGCCGATCTGGCAGACAGTCGGAGCTGAGCAGGTTCCAGAGCGAAGCTGCGGACGTGGGATTGGAACGTAGAGGGAAGAACAGAAGCCTAAAGCAACTCAAGCGGACCCTTACCACTTCCGGTGTCTCGGAGTTGAATCTTGAACAAAAGTGCTGCGCGCTATCGCGATCAAAAGGGTCTCCCTGTGCGGCAAGCAAAGGAACAGCTAGTATCTCGTGCACAGCTATGTTCAAGCGGTTGAGGTCGCTGCTATCAACAATGAAAGGAGCGAGTCTCTACATTAGTGACAGAGTAGTACGAGTTCATGTCGTCCAGATCAGCGAGATCTGGGAAAAATCTTCAGCTTCGAAGAACATCACAAGAAGTACGAGCTCCATTGAGAGCAGTTAGAAGCTAGTCGCTGAATGCGGAAGACTTCTTCTGGATACAGTGGTGGAAGACGAAGAGAAGATGCATGAGCCGCTGATTGACTTGGAGATGCAAGCCGTACAAGATGGCGATGGAGCACTTGACGAGTATGGAGGTACAGCTCAAGCTGTCTCGTGGGGACCAGAAATTGCAGACAGCCTTCTGAAAGATCTCAAGCCATTCGAAATACGTTGAAAAGCATGTTCTTCAAGTGAAACCGCCGATTTTTGTTCACGGAAAGGGAAAGCAAATGCGTATGACTTGCACAGCACGCAAGTGTATACCAGCAACAGATCCGCTGGTGAAACGGAACTCAGCTTTCAGTAGTGAACAATCTTATGTGAAGAAAAGTGCACCAAATTCGTGATAATCATCGAACCAAAGTGGCTCAGTTGTTAGCTAATGTATTGAAGCTTCTTTACTCGTGAGCAAAGCTTATATGCTTTCTAATCGTGCAATCACGCCATATCAAAACTTCGAAGTCAGCTTCGTTCGAGTTAAGTTGGTAGCTCTCTTTCCATTGCATGTTGTACTCGCAGAGGTGACCATACAACGTGCGTCGCCACGATATGTAGAAAGTTTGAAGCTTTCTGAGTGCAGTCATGAGCCTCTGTGACAAATGACTGAAAAGTTATGCTTCGAGATCCTGTCCCAAGATGCAATTTCTGTCTGAGTTTATTGACAAGGCTGTTCTCTACCGTGACAGGTTGGTCATACGTTCAAGACATCGTCGTCAATACTAGTGTCTTAGCTGCCAGCTCCGTCTACTTCAGAAGGATGCTGACGTCCGGCCTGCAGGAGAGTCTATCAAATGACCGATTAATAGAACTGAAGCTTTTTTCACACGGTGAGTAACTAACATGGAAAGATAAAATTGACGCGTCTTTGACCAGGAACCGACGCTTCTCGCTTCCAATCAGCTTTCTCATCTTAATCGAGTGACCAGAACTATGTTTTGATAATGGGAGATATTGCCCGATTCCCCAGTCTCTAAGCAAGGCCTTCGAGCTTGTATTCTCAGAAACGGAAGCGTTTAAAGTGAGATCTGCTGGAAGGCCTTGACAATCTTGACAGGATTTCACCGTGGTCCTGAGCACCGTTTATACAGACGTCAGATTGCCGTGCGTTCCTTCTACTGTGTCTAATGTCAAAGGACTTGGATAGCACTGTATACAGGGCAGGTTGTCAACTTAAACTTCTTCGCAGACTATAATTACATGTTGAGAGGGGACCAAAGCTGGCGAATTCAATACGTCTGCGCCCGATCCTGCACCCTATACGTTACCTGCTAAGATCAATCATAGTGCAAATCTTATTACCCGTTCTTGCAAGTGACCTTCGCCCCTTTGTTGCTTGCAGAAGCGCCATTCTTCAACGCCCTCATCGAATTTATGCACAGCCAAGAGATCCCGCCGACCATACGCTCTGACAAGGAGTCCCTCTGCTGGCTCTTGATCCTGGCGGATCGCATCGAGACGCCAGCGTGCATTCGGAAGTGCGTCGAACATCTGATGGCAACCCCCGTGTGTCTTGCCGACGTAGTGATGTGCGTCAATCTTCCAGAGACGGTGAAGAGACATCCGTCAGTCCGGGTGTTAATGGACGCCGTGTGCAAGTACGCATGCTGGTCCTTTGAGGACCTGGCCGCGGCGGAGAGTATTCACACTATGGATGAGCGCAGCCTGAAGAAAATCATCGCTAGCCCGAGTTATGGTAGGCATTGGAGCAAAGACGACATAGAAACGCTTTTTGCAGTATGCGTTGAGTGGTTTCGTCATGGAAGCGAGAACCGCTGGGAAGCTTTCTCGGCCCTTGTGCTTTCGTTCGAAGTCTGGCGTTTGCAGCGCTCCTTCATCAGAGAAATCTGCCCGGAGATTTGCACCAACAAAGGCCAGGCACTCCTGGAAAAGATCGAGGCGGGATATCCTTGGCGCATGAAAGAGACGAAAGCTGCGGGGATCCAGTCAGTTGACCCGGATCAACTCGGAATTCTGAGGATCAATCACCACGGTAAGCGATACCCAACGAAGAGTGCTCGTCCAGCTGCCTTCTTTCAGTGAGGCAGCATAACCTTATGTTTCGGAAAGTAGCTGCTACAAATCATGTTGTCTCGTGGTATAGACCCAGCTCGCTAGCAATGACTCATGGAAGCTGTGCTGCAACGGCTGAGTCAGCCGGGACCCCCTCGTTGTGCAGGTACTTTGGGTGGGCATCCGTGGCTAAGCATGAATCGGGAATTAATGGCGATGCTACCCGGCGATATACTTGATGACCTATCGGTGGCCGACTCGATTATCCTTGTGATTGCGCTTTTGAGTTTCCTTGCGGGCCTTGTCATTCCGTTGGTCTTCGGAATTGTATCGATCCTCCACGGGAAAGCATACACAGGACTCATCCTGCTCGCATTGACCTTCACTGGTGTGCTCCCGCTAGGTAGCTGTTATGTTACAGGGTGGGTTGGCTTTAGGGGTCTTTATCTGTACAGGGGGTTGACTGAGGACGAGATCGTACACATGAGGCAGTACGATTACACATCTACTTTTCGAAGTTAGAAATATGGCGTACTACTTGACCCGTTTTATCTAGCTGTCAAATTCGTGCGGCACTGGCTGCTTCAAGCAGTTGAGGGGTCGGACTGTATGACGTTCTGTCAGAGTGTGCCGCTTTTCAATTCATGGCAAGGCCTGCAGTTTTGACCTTCCTAAGTTCCCAACTTAAGAAGGGTTTCAGCTCATATGCGAACAAAGTACTGACAATTTGAGGATGGATTTACGTCTTTCGAAGTTCAATACCCTTCTCCGCTACGGGCTAAAAAGAATCGGGATATTTGTCGAGCTTATCCACCTACGCGACATGGGCCTAAGGCCGCGGGGAGCCAGAGTTGAAAACGCGTGTTCTGTCTGGAGCTCAAGCTGGTACGGGGCTAACCTGATCTTCAAGCATGCATGTTCGTGCACCCGTGAGCGGCGTTGTGAGCGTGGCACGGTTAAACCCAAAACCCCCGCACCATCAGCCGTTGAAGTAGTTATGGTATATACCACGTCGATCATACGCGCTTATAATGTACGTCGTGTTGCTGTATCCAGACGTCGGTTCCCTTTCTTCCACATGCATACATAACATTGAAAAGGTACCCACTTAAGACGATTCTGCAGCAATGATCATACGAGCTTGATGCAACGGGTGTTATGGGCCACTAGAAATGACAATCTAAATTGCACACATCATGATCGGATGCAGACGGTTACGGTTCAATGTTGTGTACGTCGTAATGGCTTCTGGCTCAATCATTCAAGGGAAGTGCGCAACATGATTCCAGGACCCGGACGTGATATATACCTGATTCGCAAAGCAATTTAAGAAGAGCAATTGTTGTCCGTTCTAATCCCATGCTGCAGAACAACCAAGTCGAACTTTCAGATTACAAGGCACTGCCCGTCACTCTCGCGGATTACAAGGCACTGCCCGTCACTCTCGCTAAATGTGGTAGATTTGATATATGCACGTACATTGCCACGAGTCCGCGTACGCGCTGTTACACTCGCCAGGCTGACTCGAAGTCTCGCTTGGACCCAGTACCACCATCGCAACATTCTGGACCCACAGGTCGCTTCTGCAAAATGTCCGGCTTCTAACGCCAACGTTACTTATAAGTTGATAACCATGACAACATCATTCAATGTGACAGCTATGACAGCCTGGTTGACGTACTGCACTGCAGACCTCGTGAACATCTTGTCTTGATGCAAAGTCAGCAGTTTGCAGTGGGCAACATGCTAATAAATAGGTGGTCGATCAGCTTGATAGCATGTAATCATGCGCCTTCTCGTAAAAGAAACTCAAGGACCGCCCTGTTGTATTCCCTGGGCTTTTCGATATTGGAAGCGTGGCGGGCTTCTTTGAGGACGACGAGCCGGGCTTTCTTGCCGAGAAACCTGCACACAGTCAACAAAGCATGAAAAATATCCACCTGACCCTGCTTCTTCTGCCTTTTCCACTTCCCGCCCCATCGCAGCACGGCAGAGTCCATCGATACAATACTTCGATGTTCGGCGACTAGTATTTAGCTTTTCTGTCGACAACATTGGAGGCTATTTTCAGGGCGCAAGTTGTTCAAAAAGCGGGCATGCAGATCTAGAGTCTCGGACGCGCACAGTCAGCCCAACCAGAGCCTTGCAGCTTTGAGTATCGTTTGTGGGACTCACTCTTGCAACCGCTGTGCCAATGAAAGCGGAAAGATCTCGTCCTGCTCCCCCCACACGATCAATACATCCTGCAAGCCAGCGCCACGTGTCAGCGTGCTTGTGGAAATGGATGGACAGCGGCGACAAGAAGGAAAGCGGTTGTCTTTGTAGACGTTTACATATTTTGAAACCTTGCAGGCAAGACGCGACAGGTAGCGGGTTCTGCTCAGCACGAAACAAGATTGGCCCGTTGTGGGACCGCCGAAGGACCTCTAGAAACGGTTCAAATCTGCGAGGGGGCCTTTGCAGCTCTCGACTCGTGAAGAATGTCGAACTTGGGTGCGAAAGCGGCCGAATAAGCGTGTCCGTCCTGAGCCCGGCCAGCCAAAGTCCACATCTGAAAATTGCACATTGTGCTCATTCCAAACAATCCGCTCTTTCCGATTCGACAGCGGTTTCATCATTGCACCTCCTTAGCCTACATTTTGGGTCTCTTTTGACCAATGACCTTAGTAAAGCCGGTAGAGCGATCGTTCAAGAAGCGAGTGCCTCAGACGGTTTCGAGGACACCAACCTGCGTCAATTTTGGGAGCGGCACCTCTGGCTTGTCGAGATACTCGAGCAGCTTCACTAGCATACCACGCTTCTCCTCCACCATCTCGGAGAACATGACCTGTACAAACGGAGGGACGACAAGTAAGCAACTAGTCTACGAGAAAATTCGCTCCATTCGCAAGGTTCAAGGAAGCCCGCGGTGTCGAGGCTTAAGAAGCCGTTCTCTTCAATCCATTGTCAAGCAGACTCGTGTGTAATGTGATTTAGTCGGATGCTTCTGGGTGAAGATGTATCAGAAGTAGCTTGATTTTTCTCGTTGAGCTTTGACGTCCCGCTGCCCGAAATTTCTTCTCGAGGGGGCCAAAGCTCAAGCACATCACGAGTTACCGTTTCATCCGGCCATAGTGAAGCCTCTAAATGCAGAATGTCAACCCAGATAAATCGTCTCAAACAATGACGAGGTAAAGAGGGCAAACGCAGATCGCTCGAGCGGTCGTTTGTATGAGAGGAAGACCATTGAAGGTTTCCATTCACTGGTTTTAAGTAAGGGTGCTATTACAGAAGCTCCAGTACAGATATGAGACTAGGAATAGGGACATGCCTCCCGGTCTCCAAGACATGAGTTCGCAGGTGTCCAAGCGAACCTCAGGGCCGAAATAACTTTCAAAAGTCGCAAGTGACCCGTAAGGCCTACGGCCTGTTATCGACTGCCGACCTCGCGCTTCATCCAGCTTCAGAGAAAAAACACAACACGACACAAAAACAGAACCTTGACGATCATTTCAGCCGACACGAGGAGATTCAAAAAGATTGTCACAGGAATCGTAGGAGAAAAGCAATTACCTGTAAAGTGTCCCTCAGAAGAAAGTTGGGCACCCAAGGCGGCCGGTAGTAAGCGACTTGCAGCAGGCGTCGAACGTCAGCGGGCGTTTCGGGCAGGAGAAGATCGGCCGTGCTGGCGACCCCGTGTGTCGAGAGCATCCTTTCATAGTCGCTGCGAACCATGACCACACCGGGGGAGTCCGTTAACACCACGCGCTGCACTCTGCAAACGGTGTCGAGATAGCTGGTGTCAAGAATGAAGAACAGAGGTGCAGTCAGGAATCGTGTTTGGTGCACATTCAAACGGCGAACTGATGTCAACGAGAAGGGGGTCGAAAAGATAGACGAAGGTTTTGCAAAACCGATTTCTCCTGTGAGCTGTGTCAAATTCCAACAGAGCACCAGCAACCGAGAAACCCAGGCCGCCAACCTTGAGACAGCCTGCGGATGTCAGAGGAAAGGACGTGCTTCTGCTTGTCGACTTCAATGACCGGCTCTTGACTTGTCGCTCATAAGCGAAGACTGGGCTCAGATTGATCTTATTGAGAGTGAGTAAGAAAAGCCAACACGATGAAGACCAGGGAACGAGTGAAAGGGCTTCTTAAAGCAGCGGAGGATATTTTACGAAGGTCAGTACACCAGAGCAGAGTTGACTTGTTGTGGACCACCAGTGCAGCACAAGGCTTTTAGAGAACAAGATAGGTTCCTTTCGCCGCTCCTGAATGCAACAGTTTGTGCTGCTTACTTAGTCAGAGAGGGGCTCACCTTTCTGGATAATTGTAGGCCATTCGGTAGGCCACAAAACCGCCGTAGGAAATGCCAGCCTGGACAGATGAATGTACAGAGCGGTTCACCAACTCTGAGGAAACAACTGAGCTATGAATCTAGAACTTTTCAGGACGTGATGATCTGCGGGGAACAAAGTTCAGAAACTTGCCTTCAGAACCTTTCTATCTTCAATATCATTTCAATTGAAATCCAGAAGGTGGTACATGGCCCAATAATTATTGCTTAGCGACTTCTCAACTCCGATATTGAGGTTTCGACCTCTCCCATGGACAGGTTTTGTCCCCTACTGACATCTGAATGCACCTTGTGACAGATTCGGTTCATCAGACGTCTCGACCAAGGGAAAGGCACAGTCAGCACGTGCAACAACTCACATACTCAGCGAACTGCTCATGAAAACTCCAGACGAAGCTCTTATGAACCCAACAAACACTTGTAAACTGAGAATTGCCACATACCACATGGTAGCGCTCCACTTTGAAGATATCGTGCATCAATCTGGCCATTGAAGCAGCTTCGAAGATCTCCGAGCGTTCTTCACTGGAACTCGTACTGCCGCCAAAGAAGATCAGATCTGCCAAAAAAAGGGCCAGGAGCTTCTGCGTTAGTATGATGAAACATTCGCTAATTTCCCAAGATCATGGAAAAGCGCAGTGCCAATCCGCTCAACACACGTAATGATAAGAGTGCGGATAGAATGAGATTGAAGACATGAGAGCCAGATGCGTGTCTCACCCGGAATGATCAGGTCAAACTGCTTGTGAAAAGCATTGATCTGGCCCGCCCACTGGAAAATTGCACTGGCCCCAAAGCCATGGAGCAACAGCAGGCTTTTGCGACGGGGGATCTTCTGGAGCTCCTGGTGTTTCGCAAACGGTTTCGATACCCAACAGTGGATGCTCGTTTGGTCGTCTATCTGAACCTGCAAGTGAAGGGTTACTCCATCACTAAACCCTGCTAAGGGGAGTGCTTTCATGGGGGGGTACACCTTCACTAAACTGTTGGGGGGAGTGCTTTCCCATGGGGGCGTGCTTTCATATGGGGGCTAACACCATCATTAAACGGCCCTGGCGGGGGGGTACTTTCAATTGCGTGGGGGGGTACACCATCTCTAAACAGCACGGGGGGGAGTGCTTTCCCATAAGGGAGTGCTTTTGCAGTATCACTATGGCCCCAGCACACGGAAGCAACGGCGGAAGACCTGCGAAATGCCACACATTATCTGGAAACCAGACCATAATGAGGCAGAGCTGTAGGCTATGTCGCTTAAGCTGGCTATGCTTGTGGTCCTCTAGAGGAGCTTCTTTGAATGACATCCACATCGCATTCATACCTGGCGCTCAATAAGGCCGTTGGTAAGTCCTGGTCAGCTGATTTGAAAGTTGTCTAGTCAGCTTCATACCTGGCGCTCAATGAGGCCATAACACTGAGAAGTCCACGTCAGCTGATTTGAATGATACTTTCACATTCATAAGGCCACACTGCTGAGAAGCCTAGTCAGCTCATCTGGATGATATCAAGGCAGATTCATACCTGGCGCTCAATTAGTCCACACCGCTGAAAAGTCCTGGTCAGCCGCCACTTCTGCACTCCCACCAGGCTGAATCCGCACCTGCAGCCAAAGCAAGCCATGCCCCTGCTCCCAGCACCTGGTGGCTGCTTATATCCTTGATCATGAGCTGGAAGCAGGGGAACCTTCGGGCTGCTATTCAGCCCCAGCCTAGTTATAACCGGCTCCCCACCCCCCTGCATGCGCTGGAGCTGCGGTGGGGTGAGGATGGTCAGAGGGGCTCTAGACAGGCTGGGAAGAGAGGATTTCAGAACTCCTGGGGTAGTGGTGAGGGAAGAGACCAGAGTATGCAAGTTTGCCGTTGGGAACTTCTCGGTACTTACTGCTCTCCTCATTGAAAATCCTGGTTGGGGTGCTCAACACCAGCAACCCAGCCCCAAGTGCATAGCAACATTCCCCGTGTATTGAAGTCCTTTAAAAAGGTCTTTTGGCCGGGGCATGCTCTAGGTACCTTCTACGTACAACAACTTGCGCCAGAGGATGAACGTCCACATGCTGTCCCTCATGATTTTAGCTTGCAGGTCGCCACCTTTTGCCAGCTTGCCTTTCACAGGTTTCAGCCTCAGGCCCGCCTCAGGCTTTCATGGCGGAGCTGTAAATTTTGCAACTTGCAAGACCACTGGCTTGGATCACAAAGCACGACAATCGGCAGGATATTCCAACATTGAAGACCCGCTTATGATCCAAGGTTTCGACCCCCAGAAGAACCTAACCGTCCGATATCCACCAGCTTCTAAGCACTCCCTCAGGTGCACGGCTCCGATGAGGCTAGTTGTCTTCTCTTATATGCAACTTTTCGTGCTCATATGCCACTCGGAGAAAGTGATTTAGTAGCAACGAGCCATGCTGGAGTTTGGACGCATGAAGCAGACTTCAAAATCTGGATGCAGTTCTTCGAAGAAAGGACAGATGCGCCACCACCATGCATCTTGAAGCCCAAGTAGGAATCTTGCGTTATCTTTAATGAGCAGAAAGTTCCACCTTTGGGACCACATACTGTCCTCACGGGTCCATTGGTGCCTGACATCCCTGCATTCTGAAAGTTGGTGGTCCTTCTAAAAGTCTATACATTGACCAATCACAAGTGCACGTTGAACGGAAAGCCTGCGAGGAGCTGTACTCCTACTTGAAGGGCGTCTGTTTCTGTGCGGCACAATGAGCCTCCGACCAAAAGCGAAGAATGGGGATGTGGTGCCACCACAAAAAGACGAAACTCCTCAGCCAAGCTTTCAGTTCAAACATCTACTAGAGCAAGACAGATTGTGGGACCGGGTAAGAATCCCACGCTTTCTAATTATGATCCTTATGATCTTTGCGCGGCTAATATGTGATCACTTGAACTGGGAGCCATCAGAATGCTGGGATCCAGCTCCTAGAGCCTGCTCTTGCAAAGACTGCGCAGAGGTGATCACACGCCTGCAAGTTGAGAGCACTTTTGCGCATGCGATGTTCTCTTTCCCCCTAAATGGCACACTGATTTTGCCTGTGGATTCCACATGGTGATCTGCCGTCAGTAATCAAAGTCCTTGTTTTAACAATGTGTGCGGAGTTGCTCATTTGCCTTCTTGCGGAGCACTATATAAAGTTTGGGATGGTATGCTCATTATCAAGCAGGATTTCTCACTTACTGCCCTCTCTCCAGGACGAGCTCGGCGATGTCATCCACTGGCTGCGGCAAATTCTTGGTCTCATCTTCGGCGTTGCTTATGGTTTGGCTGGGGTGGTGGGGGGCCCTTACCTGATGCTGTAAGCTTTTGGCACTTTGACTCCGATGTCTGTCTTGAAAGGAATCAAAGAAATCTGCTCGTTCAGTTTTACCAGCTGCCAGTTAAGCATGTCAGTGTTGCCCCGCCAGCCTGGATCGGCAACATCGTTCTGAGAGGTTGTGGACCTTGGCATTCAGTACGATTATTGCCAGTAATCATCTCAAACTGTTTGTTTGAATCTGTCTCAGGTATTTATTGGCATCCACGGGAATCACATATTCATATTACAAGTACGTATTGAACATTGATGAAGATGACTTTGGCGGGACGACCAATCTGTTGGTGGAAGGACTGGTCTCCGGGACAGCACTGATGGTGGTAAGTTGAGGCACGAGAGGAACCTTGTTGCTGAAGCCCTCATTTTGCGATGATTTAACTTTCTGCTTTTGGTGCACTTCGGAGGGAGCACGGATGCATTACAGGCCAACTTGACAACTGCTGTGATCCAGATAATTTCTGTCTGCGTCCGCCACAACGCGAAGCGAGTCAAGTTCTTGACAGCACCTGATACCCGTATGCAGGTGGCATGGGTACTTCTCTACAGCAGTCTACATGTATAGCAAGCTATGAGAGATACCATGTGGGCAAAGGTACGTCGAGTCGAGATAGTTTTAGCAAGGTGTGCAAAGCCAGGTCGATCTTAGAGCACAAGCATCGTGCGACAGCGTGATCTGGGAGCAATATTCTTTTGAAAGGGACTTCGTACTGCAGGCAAGACAGGTTGTGATGCGCGCTATGTGCAAGCTTTGATTTCTTATTTACCTTGCGACGACCTGTGGCAGAGGTATCAACAATGATAGTGGATGCCTCCTTGAGTCGCCCCTGTTACTGCAATCCTGCATGGAAGCTGTCATGCTGACAGTAACACGCGTGCCTGCACGTCCAGAGCTTCTATAAGTGTGAAAAGTAAGAGCGGGGAGGTGTTTAATAAAGTTGCTGAAGATGCTCAAACATCCAATCTGCCACTTGAGTATCAAAAGGTGCGGGTCAGGCCGCAAGCTGACAGGATGGAAGGAGGGAGAACGTGGGCCCCCGAGCTGATATAAGATCGAGACCCTTCCTAGGATCGACGATCTTGACTGATCGGTCCACTGATTCAGACCGTCGATCCAAGGGGTTCTTGTGGAAGGGAGTTCGCTCCTCGGATGGTCCGTCAGGAGTCCCTGTCCTTCCTCGTCCGTTACTTGATAGTCCACGTGGGGTTCACGTATAGAGTTGTTTGTGCATGACTTGCACTGATGGTGACAATCGTTACACATCTGCACTTAGGACATGAAGTACTAATGCATGTTCACTAGGTTCCTAGCTACGTCAAGCAGTACACCTCAACCATGCAATGCAATGATCACTTAATCAATATGATAATCCACCATTCAATCCTAGAAATGATTCAAGCCTTTCCGTATGATGTCGTCGACCTTCAATACGTACGAACTGAGGCGACTAATTGTTCAGAACGAGCTTCCGGCCATCGAACACATGCCCAACGTGATCGAATAAGATTGGATCCGTTTCTGTGTTACGACATGGCGTTGTGCACCGGTCTTTGCCAAATGCATGTGCATTCATAACTCAATTACGCGATGCATGCATGATCAACAAGCCCACACCCCATGGCTTCCGCGCAGTACTGCTGGTAAACAACTCCAAAATCTGACCTGTCACGGTTTCCATCGGAAGTCCTCCTTGCGAGATAAGTATACAAGTAGTCAAACTTTTATTTCTCTTGTGCGGAGCAGTTTCGTCAACTCTCAATATGATGCTGTCTATCTGGCGTCAATGATTACCTCCTTCCGCATCCCACCCCGCATAAGCTCCCCCTCCCAACAGCCTCACTCTCGTCTGCCATGCATGCTTGTCTAGATTAAAGGGGGTTACCTAAACGCTCTGATCGCCCCACCGCACGTTGTATTTGGCGGCCAGATAGTGAGCCCCAATGGGCCCCCTGCTGCCGTACGGATACAACTCGGGCGCCACCTGCTTCTCCTCCAATTCCTTGAGCAGCGGTGTGAACAGCTTCCAGGCGGCGGCCAGCTCGTCGTCCCGGATGAACAGCCGCTTGTCGCCGTTGATCACGTCCAGGATCAGGCGCTCGTACGAGTCGGGGAACTCCTTCTTCTTATACCTGGAGGACAGCAAACCAGATGAGTTCAAGCGGACTCTACCCGAGGAGGACGGAACATATGCAGATGACGTTCAAAGGCGCTCGTTCGGCGCTCGTTCGAAACGAGGACCTTTTTCCTCATATACGTGAAGTGTTGGGAAAAGAAACACGAGCGAAATGGTAACGGGCCGGGGGGGGATTCCAAAGTCGATATTTTTCAAAGTTGAGGCGCCGGGGGGAATGTCATCCACAGTGCGATCTAGATATGACAAAAGCGTGCAGTGCAGACAACGGGCGCACTGAGCTCGTCAATGCAGACCAGTACGTAGGACCAGAACGAAAAGAAGTCATTGTCGACTCAACCGATGACGTCGACAAGGGCAACTGGAGATCACATGAACATTCTAAGAGTGACATAAGAAGCGGCACTACGAAAGCCTCTACCATGACTGTCCAAGATACGCCCCACCAGAGTCGAAGCCGCGAAGTAAGCCTGCAAACTTGAGCAAATAGCGACCAAATGAGCGACGCGCTCCCCACCTCTCTGCATATTGCAGGTTGAGGTTGCTCCGGTCGAGCCGCACCCCGAGCCCCGGCACCTTGTTGTTGATCTTGAGGTAGATCGCCTCGTCCGGCTGCACTCGCATCACCAGCTCGTTCGTCGCCTTGTCCAGGTCCGTCCCGAAGCTGTTCTTGTATAGGTTCCCCGGCACGTGCCGGAATTGGATGCGGATCTCCGCGCGCTTGTCGTTGAGCGCCTTGCCGGCCTTCATCAAGAACGGGACGCCGTCCCAGCGCGCGTTGTCGATGAACATCGCAATGCAGGAGAAAGTGGGCGTGATGCTGTTGCTGGGCACCGTTTTGTCGTCGGTGTATGCGGGGTACGAGACGCCGCTCTTGCTCGTGTGCTCCTTGTACTGGCCGACCACGACGTCCTCGAGCCGGATCGGCTTCATCGAGCGCAGCGCCTTTACCTGAGAAGAAGAAGGGTTTGACAAAGCGTTAGGAAATGGGTTGGAAAAAGGTTTGTGAAGAGTGACGAGGAAGTCCTCGAGACGAATCAGCTTCATCAAGCGCAGTACCTTGACCTGAGGTCGTAAGACAAGAAAAGGGTTTGAAAAAGGGTTAGGAAAAGGGTTGGAAGAAGGGTTGTGAAGAGCGACGGGACGTTCTCCAGACGGATCGGCTTCATCGAGCGCAGCACCTTTACCTGAGGTCGTAAGAAAAGATAGAAGGGTTTAAAAAGGGTTAGGAAAAGGGTTGGAAAAAGGTTTGTGAAGAGCGACGAGGACGTCCTCCAGACGGATCGGCTTCATCGAGCGCAGCGCCTTTACCTGAGGTCGTAAGGGGAAAAGAAGGGTTAGGAGAGGCTTGACCTCCAGCCGATTTAGCTTCATCAAGCGCAGCACCTTCGCCTGGAGCCGCCAGGCAAGAGGGGCTCTCTAGAGGAGTATGAGCGGGGTAGGACAGAAGTCGGGCTGGAAGTTGGCAAGAAGAAAGAGGCCGAAGACTGCTTTTCTGCAGAAGTGTTGAGGAAAAGGCTCTACATAAGTGAACTACTTCAATCAACAGCAGGCTAAAAGTGACACGGCACGATGTCAGAACGGAAGCGTCCAACGGACTCAGAGATTTTCGATACACACTGACTTTGTCGGGAGCAGAAGAACCGCTTACAGATCTCTTCAGAATGTAAGCGCAACTCCTTTGGAGTAACCAGCCACAATTGCAGGTTCGGCCGAATACAAGTTCGAGGGGCAGTACAATCCTACCTTTTCGTTTCTGATGTCCTCGGCCGCGAGCGAGACGGGCGGCTCCATCGCCAGCAGAGCGAGGAGCTGCAACAGGTGGTTCTGCATGATGTCACGGATGATGCCGTAGTTATCAAAGTACCTGCATGACAGAAATGTCAAGTAAGGAATCTAAAACCTGTGGAGATCCGAAAGTGGACGGGTAGAATTAGACGAAGAGCTCAGGGGTCCGTTAGGGAGTAACATGAGAAATGAGGGCGTTGAATTCCCTGCTGATCTTTAGATCATCAATTCCAGACATGCACAGGGAGGAGACGAGCCGCTGCGAAGCTTTGGGGCTTCCATGCTCCGTCTGCCTTGATGCGCCTGGCGCAAGCGGATTCTACCGCAAATTTCGGCTTCGCGAAAAGTACTCTCGTTGAAAGAGCGGTACTTGCTTCTTTGTCGTATGGTGCCTTTTTCTATGTTTCCCAGTACGAGCGTCCAGAAAGGGAAGCCCCTGTGCCCGTCACTTAAAAGGCTCCTCGTCTGCAAGCGCTATTTAACTCTCCTTTCAAGACAGTTAGGAGATTTCACCCGACCAGCCCCAAAAAGAAGACTCTTCCTAACCAGCGGAAGCTTAAACGCGGAATCGTCTATTGGACATCGTCACAAGAAGCCGACACCGGGTGACACGTCAGCACTCACCCGCCCCGGCCCTCTGTGCCAAAGTCCTCCGAGAAGATGATCTGCACATTGCGGATGAACTGCCGCGACCACAGAGGCTCGAAGATCAAGTTGGAAAACCGCAACACCGACAGGTTCTCCACCAGCTCCTTCCCGAGGTAGTGGTCGATTCTGGAGGTAAGAAGATGAGATTAGGGTGCGCGTCAACCGAAAAGCTCCAAAAAGCTTTCCCAAATTTTTAGGCAGTTGGATGGCTTGTCATATCCACGTGGTGACCCGAGGTACATACCAGAGGAGTATTGATACTGTATTATGGCTTGAAAAGTACTGTACCTCCTACCTGTCGGTACTGCAAGGGCAACGCTGGAGGCCAAGTAGGTTTTTGGCAACCTTAGGCAATGATTTGATACATCTGGGATGAAGCAGGGGCTGAAAGCATCTGGAGCTTCAAAGTGTTGTACATGAATCTTCGAGGAATGGATGGGGACAACAACGACACATGGTCCCCGCCTCCTCCAAGGGAGTGGTTGGATTTGAAATAGAAGAGGCAGATCTCGGAACGAGCGGTTAGCAGCGTGAAAGCTGTGCCTATGCGACTAACATGCACAACGACGGCCTATCTATCCATTGGAAGGAATGCATCAGAGCATCAGGCTGTACTCTAAGAGAGACTGTTGCTTTCATATCAAGGGGCATTCATTGCGATGCTGTCATCAAAGAAAAATGTGTCTCCATCCACGAATGGAAGCACAGCGAGGTTGTGCTTTTTATCGGATTGAAAGCTCCTTAGCAAAACGGGAAGAGCGTAGGGCTTTGCCTTAGCAATAAGCGAAGTCCCTGAAATGAAAGTTGAAGGTGGACAACTCTACACAATACGAAGGCGTGATTGTGGGGACCTACGAGTACAGCAGGTAAGGGAACATGAGGTTAGCCGCAAGCCAACAGGTGGTCTCCGTCAAGTCAACAGAAAACCTTCACTCGAAATGCCACCTCTCGCCTCCTCGTCTGCAACAACGATTAGCATCTGGTTCCTGACCAGGTTTATCCAAAGATAAAGCTTGGACTCACCTATAGATTTGGTCCTCAGATAGGTGCTCTGCCAGGCCCTGAGACAACTCCCCAGATGACTGAAGGTCCCGTCCAAACGGCTTCTCCACGATAACACGCGTGTAACCGTTGGAGGAAGATGCTGCTCTGCTAGAACAGCGCGCGACATCCACAAAGATGTTGGGAGGGATGGAAAGGTAGAAAACGCGGTTGGCAGTTCGATCACCCTGAAGGAAGGATTGGGAGACTGCTTAGTTTCGGATTTCTATAATTGCAGAATGACGTGAACCAGTCCAGTGACCGGATGAGCTCAAATGGCTTTTGAAATGCGCACCGGTTCGGGACAGCTTCTTGAGAAATCAAATGCAAGGCATTTGCTGCTTCTTTATATCATCATGCGCCTCAAAAATATCGCAGCTTGTCCAGCGATTGATGATCCTCTTTGGATTGCTGCGATTGCCCAACAACTGGCCGCTGCTCCTCGGAACTCTGTACATGCAGATGCCGCGAGGGAAGATAAGAAGCGCGCTGCTCACCTCCTGCTCGCGCAGTTTTGCGTCCAGCTCCTTGAATGAATCTTCTGAATCGTACTGACCGGCGTGGTAGAAGCACCTCTTCAGAAAGTCCTCCTGCTTCTGTCCACAATTCTCCCTGCACAACAACAACATAGTCACATTGAGCTAAGCGCAACATCAAGCAGGTGTGCAAACTACGACAGAAAGTAGGCCACTTAAGCAAACAGCTCATTCAGCTCCTTAGCCTGCCTTTGGCGAACCTTTGATTGCATCCTGGACGAATTGATGCTACTTTTTGTGTCACTCAGACTCTGCCGCAGACTCATTGCCAGCTGATTTATGGAACCTGCAAACTTCTGATCGCTCAACAAACTGAGACTCTGCCTGAAGGGACCAGCCAGCCAATCGATTGCCACTTACCTCTGATCAATTCTGCAGGTGAGTGTCGTACTGATCATGTCCCGCAGCTGCTCGTTTGTCATCTTGCTCCGCGCATATCCATAGATGGTGAAATGCTGCAATCGAGAAAGCGCTCGTCAATTTTAGTGCCAGCAGAAGTGACAGTAACCACCACCCTGTCATCGATTCTAGCCAAACAGGAACGCAGCCTGCCAAGGTCGCAGCAAATTGTGTTTTGGAGATGCTTCTGGACCATTCGTTTGTGATTGCGAATCCAGATACAAGAAGACAGGATGCAGTGTGCAGCCTGATATGAAAACCTGCTCTACGACTGTCTTCCTGCTGGATCTAGTTACAGTCTGTTGAATCTTACCATGATCACCTCATCGGTCCTTAGAGGGCAGGAAACCAGGCATGTTCCAATGCAATGAGAGGCAGCATTACAGAGCGGATTGTCATCATGTCAGACAGCTCCTCACAAAAGATCCTCCCAAATAAAGATTATGTGCTGATCTCCTCTCACAACTGGCGAGCCAATCTATCATAATAAGGCTCACCTTGGGCAGGTACCCTTCATAGAAAAGCGCAAAAAGGGCCGGGAAGATCTTCTTCTTGGCCAGATCCCCAGACGCCCCGACCACAGTCACGGAGCAAGTTGAGTCCTGGTCGACACCCCCCGTCTGCATGTCCTTAAAGTCTTTCTGAGCTTGCGGGCTGCTGCCTGCCTGGGGCTGCCGCGCAGGAGGGGCCTTCTCTGTCTTCTTCTCTGCCTCCTTTGGTGCTGCTACGCTTGCTGCTGCAACCGCTGCCCCATTCGAGCTCACAGGCTCGACAAATGCAACCCCATCCCGCACACTTGCAGATCTACGGGTCAGCTTTGCTGTGGCCCGCAGACCGACATAATTGTCAACAAGAGGAAGAGCTAGCATTCTAGACTGGGCCCTCAGTGTGCTAGAGGGACTATCGAGCAAGGCATCGAAGGCGAGTGTGCCCGCTGAAAGCGACCGGGCTGCGCTCATGGCGGCGGCCGTCGCGAAGCCCATTGCGGCAGCGGAGATCGACAAAGCGCCTACGTTCCCGCACAAACTATCTGATCGCGATATGGATGCGTGCAACGTACAAAGCGAACTACTGAAATGCTCTAAATCCTTCGATTGACTGCAGTGACCACCCTTCAAAAAGTGCAAAGCGAAAAGGTGAAGTGCTGCAGATGTTTGTCGTGCTGGCCACCCTTCTCCTCAGCTCATTGCTCAATGCAAGTTGCTGTAAACTTTGAGAATGCGGCTCGCAATCTCAGGCAAATGAAGCGCCGATTCTAAAGTCCGGGACATGCTCTCGCAACGTGTGCACCTTTCGACTGCGCGTTGTGCGAAAAGGCAAACTTGGACCAATCAGAATGCAGCATTGTCCAGGGCCCCTGGAGAATCTTGACCGTCGAGGGCGTGAAACACTGGCTTTTAACCCGTCCGTAAAGGTGCCACGTTTCCAGCCGGCCTAATCAAGCCATGCTGACCTGGCACTAGAGTCTAGACTCTGGAGCCATAATGACGGATCCGCTTCTCTAGTTCGGCTTTCGAAACCCTGTTGGGCCGGGGCGCGGCCCGCGAAGGGCGGCGCGGTTTATACGAGCCAACCGGCCGAATCGTGCGACTCGCATATGCAGATCGAGTGCAGACGTAGACGCATGCAGCTCGAATCACCATGGCAGTGGGTCATTGAAGCTTGACAATCGGGACACGCGCGCCGGCTTCGATCATGCAGCAGAAGCGCAGCATGATTTTGTGACACCCCCGTTAAGCTGTGCCCTCCGCAGACAATCAAGGTCATGCAAGTATACAGGGCCGCTACTAGCAAACGCAGAATCGATCTCTTTTGCCTGAACACCATGAGCTTCCTGCATTCCTTTTTGCAGCGACTCAAAGAACACTGGCGCTCGCGCACTTCCAAGTCCCCACCTGAACCGGCATCCTCCACTTCAGGCGATCAGGCCGACCCTGGCCTAGACACGGTATGCTGCGCGTGACATGCAACGGTCGCCATGGCCAATTTGACGGCGCCGCGTGGCTGGAGGGCCGACACAAGGTGTTCTACGACGAGGGAAATGGAGCAGAAAGCTCTTCGAGGCGCGCTCTATTTGTGTCCGAGTTTGCTGCGCTCGCGGGCGTTTGGGACAAGAGAGTCTGCGCGCGCTTCATCAGGCTTGTGGATACTGGGGAGTCGTTCGAGGAGTACCGGGTAGCTAAGGGACCGGAGAGGCGCACTGCTCGCGAGAGAAAGGCTCTACTTGCGGACGAAGGCATTCACATTGTCGAAGCAGACGAGCAGTCACCCAGGGGGAAGCGGGCTTTGAACAAACACAGGGAAGCGCTTGGTTTGAATGCCCTCCAGGGTGGTGGCTTTGCGCCGCCGCAGGAGGTGACTCAACTTCAGGGCGGTGGGAATGCGCCCCAGGGTGGCAATGCAGGGGCTGACGTCAGCAAGGTGGAACAAGGTCCTGACAGCGCGCCACATGAGGGGAGAACTTCCAGAAAGAGAACTAGGAAGGGGAAGGAAAAGGTGGGCGACTTGAACGACGCTGACGTCAGCACGGATCAGGACGACGAAGGCCCCAGCAAGCGGTCAAGGAAGGGCAAAGAGAAAGTGGCGGAGGACTGGGTGGCTGACGTCATCATGCCCCCTGCTTGCGAGTGCGGCGGCGAAACGCACGCAACGTTCGAGTGCCCGCTGTGCGGCGACTGCTGTGACTGTGAAGCGTGGGCGCTCGCGGCGTGCAGCCACGTGTACTGCGCCACGTGCCTCGTGCGCGCGATCAAAGCGTCCGTGGCGGACTCCAAGCTGTTCCAGTGCGTGACGTGCGAACTGGAGGGGGGGCAACGGAACGGAATAACGGAACCGGACGTAGAGCTGCTGTGCGAGGGCCGGTTCCGCGAGCGCGCGCTGCACGAGGTCCTGCGCGACTACGTCATGAACAGTGTAAGAAAGCACTCGACTGATCCACGACTGGAACGTGCCTGATCTCAGCAAGCCATCAGTTATGCTTCAGACACCATCAGCTAGGAAGCCGACATGTTTCAAACTTGTCAGACTATGTCAAGCGCTTATGACGTCATAGATGGCTGGTTGCCGGAGCCCAAATAAATTGGACAAATACCACACATGTTTTCGACACATTCCAGACATTCGATTCCCCTCTGAATGAGAGGATGTATGTCGACCGGTTGTTTTTGATGCCTGATCAACTCCAATAAGCTCCCAATAAGCGTCTAGTAAGTGTCGTTTTTCGAAGCAGGAGGGGGGGGTCGTGTGCGGGAGCTGCGGCGAGGCAAATCTGGTGTCTGACGTCACCGACTGGGACGACCTGCGGTGCCTTGCGTGTGGCGGTTACATGATGGGCAAGAGAATTGCGGAGGAGGCGGCGGATAAGGAGTTCGACAAGTGGAAGACGAAGCATAAGCATGCCACGTGTCCAAAGTGCGGGGCGGTGGTGCAGAAGACGGCCGGGTGCAACCACATGTCGTGCAGGTGCGGCGTCGCCTTCTGCTACCAGTGCTCGGATCCGCTCTCAGGATACAGCGGAACGTGCAAGTGTCATAAGAAATAGATCGATGGTCTCATTGCTCAAGATATTCGCTTCTGGACAGATTGATAACGGGAATGCTCGGATACTGCACCGCTAGCATGGGACCCTTGTTTCTTCCATCCTCGTGAGAAGCTTCGACTCGCAACCATACATTGAACACGCGCATGGAGTCAAGATTATATATATCAAAGCCGTGGAACCGCGCGAACTGTCCTCGATTTCTGCTTCAGTGCCACCGTTCCGTCTCGGGGACGATTGAGATTCAACGGCTTACTTGAAACTATTCGTCAACCACTTTGGCCGACCCGGAGAGCTTGCAAGCGCTCTCACCAAACCTGGTTTAGTACGTCACATATGGCCTGTTCGATTGATGAAACCCCTGCGCTCGTTTCTGGAATCCACTTACTTCAGCAGTTCGAGAAGGTACCGACATGAGCTCCGCAGAAAGGAACGCCTCCCCCATCTGCAGTCCGACTTCCAGCTCGCTTACAAAAACCCAACGGTCTGCACTGTAGAGAGACATGTTGATTCATCAAGGACACAATCCAATCTGAAGGTGGATGCAGCGTCAGTCACAAAGAAGGGTCAGAGATGCATCCGATATAACGTTGTTTTAAGTATACTATGATACGCTCTACAAACTCGTAGCAAAGGAAGCGTTCGGCCGCGTGAGATCGCGTACGCGATCGATCGATCCAAGTACTGCTCGCTTGAAAGATGCCTATAAAATTGCATCCGTCATGCGCGCTTCTGCTTTCTACACTGAGCATAGATGTTTAGCGGGGGGATGTTGTGCAGTCCAAGGCACAGTTAAAAATTTACAGCGCTCGAGCGATATCCATGCGCTGATGATGTCGGATCGAATTGCATGCTTGTCACACTGATCGAAGCTTAATTGGCATCTGTACCGTCTCCTTGCATGGGGCTCAGTAGGTCCTTTCGTGCTCAACTCGGGAAAGGAAGTCCAAGTGCATCATGTTGCAATCTGCGGCGGTAAACGTTGATTCATACACAATAGCACATGGCGCAGCCGAGTCGATCTCTTTCCGAATTGTTCCTATACTCTTGCGGTGAGCAACTTTCCTCAATTCCTCAATTAATTCGGCATGCGTGATTTATCACTCTTGAGCCGGTTGATCCGGCGGTGTCAATTGCAAAGTTTAAGTGCATGCAAGCCTGGAGCTGCGATTGTACGCGGGCGCCAATATGTTTAGATCTGACCGCGGGCTGTGGTTGAACGGGGGATGATGTATGCGGAATGCGGTCATTGAGCTCGATGCAGCCACGCCTCGCAAATCAGATTTAATGCATTTGATGGGTGACGCAGCTGCTGTTCGGATGATCGCAAACATAATTTCTCAAATTCTTGCATGCGCGTACCCTAGGACGCCCCCCGATCAAGATTCTGCAGCTACACAAGGATGGCCAGCCAAGTTCTGGAAACGCTTCTATTGAAGGCTTGACAGCGTATATACAATCTGTACAAATTTAACAGCAGACAAGCGACCACTCATGAGACGGCTCTCAGGCTTGTCATGCTTGCCTGTTTCTTGGACGGTCTGCTCGCATCTCCTTGATGCGTCCTTTTCACATTCCCTGAGAGCAACCTAGAAACACCAAACGCATCTATGCTTTTTTCCTTTGCGAGCAAATCGGCTTTTCTCCGCTTCTCATCAGGAAGCTCTACTCTCGCCTTTCCACTCACCCCTTCCTTCCCTGAACTCGAAGCCTGGAATATGGACGACGCTCTGATCGCCGCCCTCCGCTTTCGCCTATTCTCGTCAAAGCCAGACTTATTCGACACCCCATATCGGACCCGAGCGGCGGCTTCCGCATCTTCTTTGGCAGCGGGGAGTAATCGCAAACCAAGCCCCTTTTTCCGCGCTTCTACCGTCTCCTCGGCTACCCGCTTCTTTTGCTCCTGCATTACAATACAATTTGAGTACGCGCCTCTCGTTCGACCAGCGGACAATGACATCTTCGCTAAGAACAAGCGGACACTGACATCTTCGCTTACATTTCAGCAAGCCTCGTTGGAAAAAGAGAGGGAAGAAAGATCTCATTATGCAACAGTCACGGAGCCAGGAAATGCTTTACGCAATGCTTGCAAGTTGGAGGGGAGATGGTATCAACTTACTCTTAGTTGCTTTCGCAGCGCCTTGTTTCGAGCGAACGGATCCGCGTGCTTTGCGTCGCTGTCGTTCTGCACGTGCAAAAGGAACTTGTCAGGCAGGCGTTGAGCGTGCTACCCTCGTTCGCAGATGCACCAAAGCTCGACTTCGCGATGTCTTTGATACTTTCCAGGTGCTTTTGACCGTGTCAAGAACAAATAACAAGGCGGCCGAACAGCTAGCCTCTTAAAGCCTCGACGATCTGGAGCAAAACAGAAGGATCGAACGAGCGTACGTCATTGCATGTCGCTAGAAAAAGAGAATGACACGAAATCTGGACGACAACCGGAGTCACTGCTTGCACAAGACTAGCAGGCTGTCTTATCTTACTGCCGAGATGATGAGCTTTATGCTGCGTTATCAAGCACTGCGGCACTGCGCCTTGAACTGGCAAGAGGAAAAGGTCTGACCCAGCATAGCGGCAGACGGACTCCAGAATCTCAGAGACAACATTCACGAACGGTCACCAACCTTCAGCTGCGTCAGCAGAGGCACTGCCGTTCGGGCCCTCCGCACGTCGTCGCCAGCATGCTCCAGCTTGAAGAAGGGGTCCGCCAGCTTCTCACGGTCTGCATGAATGGGAGGACCGGCATTGAGCTGCCGACCTTCTCCTCGACTCTGTGCTGCGTTCTGAATAATATTCTTACTGCTCCAATCAATCCTGTGATTGCTCTGCTTTTTCTCGTGGTTTATTTCCGTAGAGTTTAAACGCGTTCTGAAGTCCCTCAATCGCTCCAAATTTTCTTTCGGTTGGTCTGGCGCTTGAGCTGGCCGCGTCGCGCGACAGTCAGACCGAAGAGAAATGAGGCGAGTACGCCATTTGAAGAAGTCACTTCGCTCTTTTTGGAACGTCAACGCTGCTTAGACGAGGGTTGTCCAGCGAAGAAGGTTTGCCATACGTGCTTGTTGCGACAAAAATATTCCCTCAGCGCAAATTGCTCCGAAACCGTGAGCCTTGACGCACCCCTTCGGCATCAACGCTTACAAATCAAAACGTAATAATCGAGTCCTTATATAAAATTGTGTTCAAAGGCTGACCTTCCTGAATGTTGAGTTCTGCAGTGCCTGCATCTGCGGCATCGTATGTTTCCACCTTCTGCTTGGCGCCACGAACCTGCACAAGATATCCCCATCGTAAAAAAGGAGCCCGGAAAGGTGACCCTTTTTCAAAGCTTCAACTCGGTCGATACGAGCAGCATAGATTGACCTCCGCATCCGAAAAGCCAACGAGAAAGGCACAGAAACTTGAGCATACTTGTTGCCACTAGCAGAATTTGGACAAGAGTGCCAAACATTCAACGAATGAGTGGGGAACTCGGCCAAAGGTGGCAAGGAAAAGCTAACCACGAACTCACTACTATGTACTGGGTACTCTTTGGGTCCGTCTGGATTTCAATCTCGGTCTGGCAGCACGGACTCTTCATAACAAAGGACCATATCTGCAAGAAGGGAAAGGAAACAATCAGAGTTTCGACGGGAGGCCTGTATCCATTTATCCAACTATTAGGCCTAAGAGGTGAGTCGGTACTCCCACTAGCCGCCTGGCCTTGCAATGACATATCATGCAGATATTCTCTTGAAGAAAATGGCCCCGCTTGCGAGGACCTTCGATACAAGCACTGAGAGCTGACCTTCAATACAAGCACCGAGAGCATTCAACTAAACAGACGCTGTGTTGTGAGGTAAAGAACACGTTCAGCACTTGTCTGACCAGCACAATTTAGGACCAAGGTCATTAGACGATTGTTTCAAGGCTCTGCTTGGTCATCTACGGAGCATCGCTGCCGCAGGCCGGTTCACACGAAAGAGGACCATATGAGAGGCTGCCACTCCTCCATCTGGATTGTTCTGCCTTGTTAAATATGGATTTTGGCGGCCCTTGTTTGCCGGGAAGGACAGCACACATCAGAGCTCAGAGAGTTGACCAGTGTAAGTACCTTCGTTGAAAAGTAGTTGCCAATCTGCTTCTTCTCGGCATTGAAGCGGACCCCAGTTGCAATCAGATGCCCACACCCCTCGCACCAGACCTTGAAGGGCATCTCGAACCTGCGGTTGTCATGCAAGAATGAGGGTAAGCGCTCAGAATTGTGCCCTGACCCATTCATCGGGGATTATACAAGGCCTTTGGGATCATAGGTAATCCTATCTGATAGAATTCACCACTACAGCAGGAAAGCTGCCAGCATATCTATCCACCTCGAATTCTGACAGTCACTTTGTCTAAAAAGAGGTCCAGATTCAGTCGAATCAAGTGAATGGCAGCTCACCTGACAACCAGTATGCCCTCTGATTTGAGCTTTTTGGCACGCTCTCGGAGCGGGTGCTGGCCCTGGAACTTGTTGAGGCCGCCCTGCAGTGCACCATAAGAGTGAGAACCTTCCATTTGAAGGATAACTGAATTTATCAGTTCATCTGGCGTGGCACTCCAGGGTCAAACAGACAGAAGGTGCTGAAGTTGGGGGACCTCTCATCTCTGGTTTTGCTTGAAGGAAGCACCTCAAGGTGAATAAATCCGTGAGGTCAACTGGGGCAACCTGACAGAGCTTCGCACGCTAGCAACCCGGTCCAAAAAGTCATGCATGCTAGAACCTGAGAAAGAGGTCGCTTCACACCGACCTGCTCTGGCGTCCATTCTGGCGGAAAGTAGAAGTTGTCCGCCCGAGCGGCTGCCAACGTTGACTGCAATTAAAAAAGATTATGAGATGAACAACAGGCACGCTTGCAATACAGTGAGTTTAGTACTTGGAGCCCATACAATCATGTCCAGCTTCCAATCCAAACGCTGTCTCTCACAATCATTCACTTCCTTGTGTCGGGGCTATATATATTTTAAAGATTCTGCAGACAGAAAGTGTATGTTGCATCACTTTGGAGAACAGGGAGTAGCCAGCAAACGTCCTGGGGATCATATCAGGGCACCCTAACGATAAACCCCTTCTTTCACAAACAGCAATGCTGTACCGGTCAGGGACCTGTCACGTCCGCACAACAAGGTAGTGTGATTGTGTCTCCAAAACTCACCATGGTGGCTGTAGGTGGTCAAGGCCGCGGCTGTGCCTCCAGTTTTCCCTGCACGATCCCTGGTTGCTGCTTTTCACTCGTGCAGGGGACGACAGTCTACAGGTCCCTGGTCAGGACATATAAAGCGGGTATACGCAGGAGCGCTCCAAACAAGTCTACTGCTCTAAACAGCCTTCCGCTGGAGAAGTGAACAGACTAAACCCCTGTGCTAATCTGAAAGACTGGAGATTGAACAGCGTCCCATGCGCCTCTCAAGCTCCAGCGCGCCTGCAATCGTTCTGCATGAGCTGTTGATCTGGGCAAGGCATCAGGCTACAAGCCAAATATATTAGGGTTTGGCAAGCATCACGTCAATTGTGTGTCAGCAACCAGGCTCAGGCACGGAGCTTTTGGAGCAAATCCCGGCGACTATTCTAGTAGGTTGCAATCTCAATATTGTCGCTGTCAAATCTACCGAGCGAAGGGTTCCTATGACACCGGTTGATGAGTGCAAGAAGGCGCTGGGCTGGGCAAGTATAGGAGGAAGCTTTTCGAGGTGACAGTGAGAGGCTGGACGCCATGGTGGGAGGGCGCTGGTCGACCGTGCCTGAACGCCTCAGCCTCAGGAAGCTGCTATTGAATTGTGCAGGGAACTTCGCTTGATGATGAAAGGCGCTTGGACGCTGGCGATACCACCTTAAGACAGCTCCATTCCTTTCCAAGGCTCGCATTTAAAAGCTGGCTGCTTCAACCAGGGTTTTCAAAATGTCATATCAGCGTTGATCAGTGTGTGTTGAGATTTCACTGAAAATGCGAACTATGAGCTTCTTCCGGCTGAGTCAGTGAGCAACTAGAAGTGCGAAGAGGCAAAGGAGAATGGAGGCGGGAAGAAGCCAGACAGTGCCGCTACTTCTGTGGCTCCTTGCCCTCCATGTAGTGGGCCTACTTATCTTCACAAAGGGGTTCCTCCTCACCAGAGTCGAGCTGGATCTCTACAGCGGTTGCACAGACTTCCCCACTCACCACTACTCCAATCAGTACACTACTGAAGAAACCTGCAGGCTGGTTGAAGACGCATCACCCGATGGTGCATCCAGCAAGTTCAAAACCAGACCAGATGACGCCGTTGAGGAACAGTTGCAAATTCCCCGGAGACAGTCAGGCTGCTGGTCCACCCCCAAAGTCCAGAAGGTGGTCATTCTCATCATTGACGCCATGCGCTTCGACTTTGCGGCCAACACGAGCGCCTACCACCAGCCAACAGGCCCCTGGGTGGGGCGGCTGCCGATCTTTGAGCGGCTTGTTGCTGAAAAGGGCGCGTCCGCTGCGCTCTTCAAGTTTGTGGCGGACCCTCCCACGACGTCCCTGCAGCGCCTGAAAGGCCTGACCACAGGCGGGCTGCCAACTTTCATTGACATTGGGAACAGGTGAAGCCCCTTGCTTGGTTCCAGTGCCCCTTGATGCTTGCTGGTCGGGACTGTCTGTTCTTTTCGTTTTCAGCAGTCTATCTATACAGCCTGCGAATGGGCGCACCTTGGAATCAAGAGAGGCTGGACTAGCCATGAAACACTGGCCGGTATTGTAGATGCGGAGAGACAGGTTGGTATCGCGGGGTCTCCTTTACGACGTGTCTACTTCATTACTAATGTGGTTTTGCAAGGTTTCAGAAGCACTCTGGCATGACGGTTTCTCAAAATCAGAAATCATGTCACCTCTTCTTGACAGCTTGATTGCATGACAAGTAAAGGATTCTTGGCTTCAGTTCTCAGCTGTTGCACTCACTAATGAGGAAGAAAACGTGGCCAATCCAGCAATCTTCCCTCCTGCAGTTTCGGAGCCCCCGCCATCACTGAGGACAACCTGATCTCGCAGTTAACGCAGCAGGGCCGGCGGCTGGTCCTCCTAGGCGATGACACCTGGATGGATCTCTACCCCACGCAGTTCACTGAGGCGCACCCCTACCCTTCCTTCGTTGTCAAGGACATCCACACAGTAAGCTTTGCAAAACGCTCTATGATTCACTATCGGTGAGATTGAAAGGTGGTGTGTAGCGGTGCAAAGCTGAAGGTGGCCGTGACAAAGCAATGTCCGTTATACGACTTCAGTCCTCGCTTAAGAGAACACTCCAGATATGGTGCTGCTTGAGAAAGGCCGACTGCAGTATATGTCAATTGCTTCTCCTTAGAGTATAACTCCCTTCTTCCTCACTCTCTGGCTGCAGCTCACATTCGGTTCTGCCTACCCTTCACTCTGGTCGAGAAGTCGTTCTTTGTTTCAAACACAAAAGAGTAGACAAAAAGTCTCGACCTTTCAAAAAGCAAGATGTTTTCGGCTTGCTGAAAACTGTGAGTAAATTTTACAGTTCGCTTTTGTCTATGGTCGACATCATTCCGCCCCCTTGTCCAGGTTGACAACGGCGTCATCAAGGAGATCTTCCCGGCTCTGGAGCGGGACGATTGGGATGTCCTCATCGGACACTTCCTGGGAGTCGACCACGTGGGCCACACCTTCGACGTCGGCTCGCCAGTCATGCTCGAGAAGCTCGATCAGGTAGGACTAGACTGAGCTACTCTCCAAGTGAACTCGAGGACCCCGGCATTAGTAGGCTTGACGATCTACTGGCATGACTAGCCCCGTCTTCCAGGCCTCAAACACAAGCCGCCTGTCCTGAGTGCCTGGCTCCGTTTGCCAACTTCGCTGGCTCGCTTTCTTCTCGTTCATCCGATCTCTGCGATCAGCCGGGAGGTCTCTGCTCTGTCTTCGTCTCAGCCTCGGGCTCACAATTAGCGTCCATTTCCCCCACCTTTTTTGGCGCCGATCTTCAACAAGCAGATTCTGTGGAAAGGTCCCTTTTAAACCGTTCTCAGCACTCCCTCTGCAGATGAACGCCGTCATCGAAGACGTAGTCTCCGCTCTAGAAAAGCACAGCCAGGGCCTGCACCAAGATACGCTGCTCATCGTGATGGGAGACCACGCACAGACACTCAGCGGCGACCACGGAGGGGGCACGCCGGAGGAGGTGACGCCGACTTTTAACTGCAAACTTCGTCAACTCTGCTGTTGGATATTCATGCGAGCAGCCAGATGTGTTAAGACAACCCGAGTTTCCTCGGCGCGTTCGAGTTCCCTTCGAACGTTGACTCGTCTTTCACATTTTTCTAAGGAACTGAATACCGTCCCTGGGGCTGTTTCACTGCGGTGCATATTTGCGGGTTGAAAGGTGACCTCTATTTTCCGGCACTGGCGAGGCGAAGTGGCCTATGCGACTTCGTTTGCGCCTGAGGTCGCTTCCGCTCTCGAGATTGTCTCCTTGAATGGACAGACACGTTGTCACGCACGATTCCGCATGTTCGAGCGGTCTCCTGGCGCAGAGATTGCTGAGTATCCGACTAAGAGGATTGCCATCTGTTTGCACCGGACGTCCCTTCTTACCTGTCAAGCTGACTGCAACAGTCAGTCCGACTGTTTAACTTCCTCCCGATTCTTTCGCTTCTTTCGATACCAATCCCAATCCTGAATTTAAAGGGCTTCCAGTTCTCGAAACTACTCGCAATCGGTTATGCAGGTTGACACGGCCCTCTTCGCCCTCAGCATGCGGACGCCGCCGGCAGCGCTGCCGTCCGACTTGCGATCCCAGCCGTGCACTACGTCGCTTTCAGATCCGGGGCCGTCACGTTGCGCCACGCTCCCCCAGGTCGGTCGTCTCGCGCACTTTTCCGAGGTCAAACGCAGAGCAGAAAGAGGACGGCAAAACCTTTTTCTGAATTGCCACTCAGGCGACGGCAGCTTCGGTTGGCCTTGAAAAGCTCCGGTGCTCCAAGAAAGCAGTTCGATCACCCTCGACGAGTGGCCGCGTTCGGAAGGTCGTCTTCTAATGATACGTAGTTGATTGGCCCCGGTTTGCGCGGGTTCAAGAGTTGATTGATGAGACAGACTCGTCACATGTACGGCCTATTCCGGTTCAGTACCAGGCCTAGCTTCATCCCCGAACCGTTCCCTTTTTGGAGACTCCGATCAATCGCACCAATCCAGTCGCACACCTTCGTCGCTCTAAGGTTCTAAGTTCTTTTTATTCCGCTCAACCCCGTCTTTCCCACCCGCAGGTTGACTTCGCCCCAACGCTCGCGATGCTCCTCGGCGTGCCCATACCCTATGCGAGCGTCGGCAAGATTAGCCCCGAGCTCTGGGCGCTCTGTGCACACAGCTGGACGGAAAAGGTGCCTCCTTCAGATGTCAGCCATTCTACCCCACTTAATAGCCGTTGCCAAGCGGCTAAGGTCCCTCCCCTTTGCCGCAACCCTTCAGCGACGAACGAACATGGCACAGAGAAGAGGCATCATGTGGGCAGTGCGAAAAATCAGCGATCCGTGCTGGGAAGCAACGCCGAAACAGGAGCAGAGTCTAGGAGCGGAGGCGGCAGCGCAGAAGAGTACCGGTGTGAGCATCGCTCACGAAGTGGGGAGGACGTCGAGGTGCCTATAAGCGATGAGGCCCGGCTTGATACGTGGCTGGCGGGCTATCTGCGCGCGCTCGCGGTGAATAGCGCGCAGGTGCAGCGGTACCTCGACCAGTATTCCGCGGCCGCAACCTCGCCGTTTCCCGCCGCACAGCTGGCAAAAGTGCGCGCGCTGCACCAGAAAGCTATCCGGGCTGGCGGGGAAGTGCGTCATGGGGCCGGATCCGGGTTTCTACCGGAAGGGGACAGCGGTCGGGGTGGCAAGGAAACGGCAGAGGGGATGTTGTTGGCAGGAAGCGAGACTGGTGACGGGGAAAGATGTCAGTCTCGAGAAGAGGAGCTGCTCGCTGATGTTGAGCGGACTCGCGGAAGTTTCGAAACGACCGGAAGAAGACAGGGAGTGTGCGGGGCCCAGACGGAAGGCGGAGAGACGTGTCGAGTCGAAGGGACAGCGACGAGTAAAAATGCTGCTCAGGGAGACGGGTCTCAACGCCGGGAAGGGGAGAGCCGACTCAGCGCTCTCCAAAGAGCGATCGCCGCTCACTTAGAGCACCTGACGAAGGCCGCTGAGCTGGCACGTGCGCAGTGGACGCAGTTCGACGGCGCGGCCATGGTCCTCGGCCTAACGATCCTGGCCGCTTCGCTTCTTGCGCACCTAATTGCTCTACTCTCCCTCTCCTCCGACGCCCCTCCAAAACTTCCGTGGACGAGAACGGTAACGGTTGCGGCGGCTGTCGGAACGGCGGTCGGT